CAGACATGAAGCTCATGTCATGAGCAGCCTGGGACTAGTCACTATCTTCCAGTGTGACCTGGGAGGATAACACTCCTTGGAGCAGGGGCAAGATATAAATACAATAAAATAATTAATAATACTGCTATAACAAATAATGCATAAATAATACTGTCTTGGAAAAAGGAGCTCAAATCTCCAACTTCAGCTCACGTTAGCTTTTTGACTTTTCCTCATTTGCTCGGATGGAATTTGTCCAACCTCAGAAGTGGTGTCGATGGTGGCAGTGCCGAAAATATGAATTTGAGCTCTAACATCGTAATATTTTCAAATTTTTATCTGCTTTTTATTTAATGCAAATGGGATTCTTTGTTTTGTTTACTCGAGTACACCCATTTCTCTGCACAGAAAAATATTAATGCTAGCTAGATCTTCCCAAGAATTGGTAGGGTTGTTCCTTGCTGGCTTTTGCAGTGGGTCCGAATGAAACTATCAGCTGAGATTTGTCACTAATTCCCCTTTAAAGGTGTCTGCATTAAATCTGGAATTATGGAGCCACATGAGGTGGAAAAACATATCTTTCCATAATGGTTAACGGATGGTCTCTGATTTATTTATTTTTAATGTGTTTTTATTATATATAGATATCACTGTAAACCACTTTGATATCTTGTTATGATATAGCAGTATATAAATAATTTTATTTTAAAAATACAACCCGAGATCTCTTGACATCTTTTTATTTACATAAAATAGACATGGGGGGAACCTGATTTGGAACAAGGCTGTGGCACTCTGATCAGGGCAAGGAGAGCTAACTATTTCCTCCATGCAAGTACCTTAGCTGGGAAGGAAGAAACACGGAGATACAAGAAGAACTTCTGTGATTTCCTTTTTCTAGCTAATAGCAGCTCCATGGAGAGGGAGGAGCGATTTGCATCAGAGGATCGCTATATCTTTAAGGCCTGATCCATCTCTCCTTCAATACTGGGCCTGCAAACCAAGTTGCCCCTCCATATTAGCTGCTTTTAGGGAAATAGCAGATTGTGCAGAACTGAACTGAAGACTGGAAAACGAGAATCAGAAGCGGACATGTTTGCCCCTCCATAGTCTGGTAACAGACTAAATCCACTGTTAGCCTTTTGTGCAGGGCCGGATTTAGGTTTGATGAGGCCCTAAGCTACTGAAGGTGATGGGGCCCTTTATATGTCCAGCTGTCCTTTGCCAACAACAAATTGTCGCTGTTTTTTGTGTTGAATATATGCTATATGGTAATTTATGGTCCAAATAGGTATCTAAAGCCATTTGCACATGCAGAATGTAGGCACCCTATATATAGAAATGAGCAAACCAGTGATATTTTAGGGTCAGGCTAGCAGGTGGGGCCCGTGACTTACATCATAGGAGCCTACACAACACCAAACACTGTTGCTGTAGGTGTTGTTGTTGTTGTTTAGTCGTTTAGTCGTGTCCGACTCTTTGTGACCCCATGGACCAGAGCACGCCAGGCACTTCTGTCTTCCACTGTCTCCCGCAGTTTGGTCAAACTCATGCTGGTAGCTTCAAGAACACTGTCCAACCATCTCGTCCTCTGTCTTCCCCTTCTCCTTGTGCCCTCCATCTTTCCCAACATCAGGGTCTTTTCCAGGGAGTTTTCTCTTCTCATGAGGTGGCCAAAGTATTGGGAGCCTCAGCTTCACGATCTGTCCTTCCAGTGAGCACTCAGGGCTGATTTCCTTCAGAATGGATAGGTTTGATCTTCTTGCAGTCCATGGGACTCTCAAAAGTAGGTTTTATTTTATTTGTTTTTTATCTTATATTTTGGAAATGTGCATCCAGTTTCCCCCCTTTAATTTTTTTTTGGGGCCCCCAAGAGAGTGGGGCCCTAAGCTATAGCTTGTTTAGCTTATACGTAAACCGGGCACTGCTTTTGTGCCATGTCAGACAGTGAATGATCTGCCTGTAGAATTGGTGGGCAACCTTCACAGATGTCCTTCCAGAAACAATTCTTGTAAAGAACAGGCCTACTGGAAGTCGGTTTACCTGAGCGACAACCTGGTGAAGGGACAGCAGCTCCACAACGCAGGATCCTCATTTATTCCTAGACGATATAGAGCTGAAGACCTTGAATCATCACTTTGGCCTGCCTGGACCATAGCCCAGAAAAGGGTGAAGTGAGGCCTGGGCTGAGTCAGCGTTCGTTCCTCTCCACCTTGCCCGTCTCCTTCAGCCGCGGTCTCAGCTGTGCTTCTCAGAGGGCAGAGCGGCTGCCTCAGAGGGAAGGAGGCCAAGCTAAAGCGATTGTTGCTGCCCACAACTCTCAAATTTCATGTCATGCGGAGGAAGCCTGACTGCAGTGGCCAAGGCCTGACTTGGCTCAGAGTCTGCCTCATCTTCTTTCCTTTGCTCGGAACCGCCGATTAAATCTCTCTTCTCTCCTTGATGTCTCGAGGGTTACCAAATCCAGACACGCATTTGTAAGAGCTGCGTACAGACAAGAAGTTCACCGGGTGTGGCTATTCTCACCAGTGGCATAGCATGTTGCCCTGGGCACAAAATTTCAACGCCTGGTGCTGCCTCAATACAGTGGTACCTTGGCTCTCAAACTTAATCCGTTCCAGAAGTCCGTTCCAAAACCAAAGCGTTCCAAAACCAAGGCGCGCTTTCCCATAGAAAGTAATGCAAAATGGATTAATCCATTCCAGACTTTTAAAAACAACCCCTAACACAGGCATTTAACATGAATCTTACTATCTAACGAGACCATCGATCCATAAAATGAAAGCAATGATCAATGTACAATTAAAATTAAAAACATTTCTTACCTGCACTGATGATAGTCATTGTTTGGATGGGGGGCTTTTATCCATTTCCGCAGTCACACAATCAATCAATCAATCAATCAATCAATCAGTAGCTGAACTGGGTTCCACACAGTCACAAAAACAAATTAACCGAAAAACTTAATCCGTTCAAAAACAAAAACGCAAAATAGCAAAAACAAAAGCGGAAAACTTAATCCGCTGTGGAAGTCTGTTTGACTTCTGAAATGTTCAAAAACCAAGGTGCATGTGCCCCAGAAACAATGGCTGACAACCACATCGGATGTTCGGCTTCTGAAAAACGTTCGAAAACTGAAACACATCTGGGTTTTCAGCATTTAAGAACCAAGGTACCATTGTGCAGCTGTGTGCTTCTGTTGCTGGGCTGTGTTGAAAATGGCTTCTTCATGTGAACCAGGAAGTGACCTCTCCAGACAACAGTCGCAACTCTGCAGCTGTGATCTGCTGGGTGATATGGATGCTGTGCCCATTTCCATTCCCCACTCCCTCCGCGGGCGCCTGGGCACTGGCAACCCATGACACACCACTGTTTCTCACCCCAGGAGAGACTGCATCTGGCAGAACTTTCCCCATGAGTTTTTTCAGCTTTGCACTTCACTTGGTCACCTGGCCCACCCATCTTTCTGGATCCTATATCTCCCTGCCTAAACAGGATCACCACCTTTTCGTTTTCCAGCCTGCTTCTGTGCCTTTAACATTGGTGAGGCGGAAAGCAGATGAGAATTTTCACCATTGGTTTTCTTAGAAAGAAAAATGCTTGGCTTGCTGTAGGAGGCACAGAAAAAGTTGGCACTGTCCGCTTTTCTGTGGCCCTTTGTGTTCTTAGGGTTGCCAATTTTTTCCCAAGCTAAGGCTCCTGAATCCATACAAGCTACAAAACAGACCTGTATGTTTGCCTATAACACCACCATTTTCCCGATCTCTCCCTTTCCTCAGCACCATCCTTCCATGTGCAATTCATCTTTAAGGTTATGGCATACACACAAACATTATATATTTTTAGGCACCAGGTGAAAACGTTAAACTTCAGCTAGGCTTTGAGCTGATTGATATTCGACAGCCTCTCAAATGTGTCTGTGGAAAGGGGGGGGTTATTGTTTTGCTGTTTTGTTTTACTTGTTTTTATCCCGTACTTTAGGGACGTGGGTGGCGCTGTGGGTTAAACCACAGAGCCTAGGACTTGCGATTAGAAGGTTGGCGGTTCGAATCCCCGCGACGGGGTGAGCTCCCGTTGCTCGGTCCCTGCTCCTGCCAACCTAGCTGTTCGAAAGCATGTCAAAGTGCAAGAAGCTAAATAGGTACCGCTCCATCGGGAAGGTAAACGGCATTTCTGTGCGCTGCTCTGGTTCACCAGAAGCGGCTTAGTCATGCTGGCCACATGACCCGGAAGCTGTACGCCGGCTCCCTCGGCCAATAAAGCAAGATGAGCGCCGCAACCCCAGACTCGGCAACAACTGGACCTAATGGTCCCTTTACCTTTACCTTTATCCCGTACTTTATTCTGTGAACCGCCCTGAGATCTTATGACGAAGGGAGGTATACATACCCTCCAACATTTCTCTAATGAAAATAGGGACGTCCCATTCCATAATGATTATTTTATTATTTATACCCCACACATCTTACTGGGTTGCCCCAGCCACTCTGGACAGCTTCCAACATACATAAAAACATAATAAAACATTAAATATTAAAAATAAAACCCCATCCCTATACAGGATTGCCTTCAGACGGCGCGGGGGTTAGATAACTCCACACCCTCTCAACATTTCTCCAGTGAAAATAGGGACATCCTAATGAAAACTGGGACATTCCTGGATCAAATCAGAAACTGGGACAGCTTCTGTAAATCCGGGGACATCTCTGGAAAACAGGGACACTTGGAGGGTCTGCGGTATATAAATCTAGTAAACAAAATAAACTGGACAATCTAGTCCTGCTCCCTGACCCTAAATCATCCCTATCCTTTTCCTCACAAGTCCAGCAGTGAACCACTTTTAGGGAGTTGTCTGCAATGAAACCTGACAATACTTTACAAAACTCCACTGTTCTTGTCTTCAGTGGATGGCTTGCTCTTTATGGATGCTGCATTCTTGTACGGTCTGTGCCATTTCTGGGCATGCCAAGGCTATGGACATGTGGTGGGCAGTGAGGGGAGCAAGCAAGTGGAAGAACAGGATGAGCGACCGGAGGCCACAAGCCCAAGATGGCTACTTTTTAGCTTTGTGCCCTGCATGTTCCTTGGCAAACCATGGCAAGGGATACGGAATGCCACAAGTAGTCATCGAAGTTGGTGCGTTCCGGCTCTCGCTATATGAGCTCCCTCCTTCCCTAGGCAATGCAAAGATGCCACCAAAAACAAGGAGAAAAGAAAGCCTAAAAGGGTGAAGAAGGATTTTCATTATGAAGTTAATTAGCTTCTCTGAGTCAAGCTGCACCTTTTCAAGAGGAGGAATTAGAGGGATTTAATTGCTTTATCAGCCTTCTCTTTGATTTTCAGCAATCAGGCCGATTCCATTTAATTTAACTGCCACAGATGAGAAGAAAATTGATGCACTCACCTGCCTTGGAGCAGAAAAGAGAAAGAGAGATGGGGGGAGGGGGTGGGGAGGAAGGAAAGGAAAGTCAAGAAATTGGCAGATTAATGAAAACCAACAGCATTTGCTCCCAATTGGAACGATGTGCCTTGCCCCGAGGTGTTGGGATCTTTGTGTGTGTGTGTGTGTGTGTGTGTGTGTGCTTCTGCAGTGAGGTGCACAGCGATGCGAGACCCATCTTAATGGTAGCAATGGGGAGAAACAGGGGGCTGCTCTGCCTTCGGGAAGCAAGGGAATGCATTCTCAAGGAGGTCGGGGACCAATTAATGCACATATACATGGATGATGTCAAGGAAGAGCAAATTATGGCTCAGGAGCAGGTAGCCTACAAAGTCCTGGCTCAGTCTTGGCAAGTCCTTCCATTGGGTGATCATCCAATACCAACCAATGCCAGTTCCATGCTATGGAATCTGTAGGCCTTGCCTAGCTGAAGAACATTTACCACAGGCTTTCTCCCCATAAAAATCTACTTTTATTTATACCTACTTAGTGCCTGATCACCTCATCTGTCTCCTGAGAAATCTCTATATGGGACAAGAAGCTACAGTTAGAACTGGATATGGAACAACTGATTGATTCAAAATTGGGAAAGGAGTACGACAAGGCTGTCTATTGTCTCCCTGCTTATTTAACTTATATGCAGAATTCATCATATGAAAGGCTGAGATGGATGAATCCCTAGCCGGAATTCAGATTGCCGGAAGAAATATCAACAACCTCAGATATGCAGATGACACAACCTTGATGGCAGAAAGTGAGGAGGAATTAAAGAACCTTTTAATGAGGGTGAAAGAGGAGAGCGCAAAATATGGTCTGAAGCTCAACATCAAAAAAACGAAGATCATGGCCACTGGTCCCATCACCTCCTGGCAAATAGAAATGGAGGCAGTGAGAGATTTTACTTTCTTGGGCTCCATGATCACTGCAGATGGTGAGAGCAGCCACGAAATTAAAAGACGCCTGCTTCTTGGGAGAAAAGCAATGACAAACCTAGACAGCATCTTAAAAAGCAGAGACATCACCTTGCCAACAAAGGTCCGTATAGTTAAACCTATGGTTTTCCCAGTAGTGATGTATGGAAGTGAGAGCTGGACCATAAAGATGGCTGATTGCCGAAGAATTGATGCTTTCGAATTATGGTGCTGGAGGAGACTCTTGAGAGTCCCATGGACTGCAAGAAGATCAAACCTATCCATTCTTAAGGAAATCAGCCCTGAGTGCTCACTGGAAGGACAGATCGTGAAGCTGAGGCTCCAAGACTTTGGCCACCTCATGAGAAGAGAAGACTCCCTGGAAAAGACCCTGATGTTGGGAAAGATGGAGGGCACAGGAGAAGGGGACGACAGAGGACGAGGTGGTTGGACAGTGTTCTCGAAGCTACGAACATGAGTTTGACCATGCGGGAGGCAGTGGAAGACAGGAGTGCCTGGCGTGCTCTGGTCCATGGGGTCACGAAGAGTCGGACACGACTAAACGACTAAACAACAACAACTTGGCTGCATACGCTCATACATTTCCATTCGCAGCATCATTGAGGGACTTGGTTCTTTGCTGTTTCCCAGCATTCTTTGTTTTGAATATTCACAGAGGCATAAGTTGGAGATTAATAGGGGTTCTTATCATCACATCTTTATTAATTCATAGAAATATTTATATACTATTACTTAATAAAATATATCAAAGCGGTTTAAAACCAAAGTACATAAAGCCATACGGTAAAAAAGCATGTCAAAAAGATTAAAAGCCAGCCAGCAATTAACTATTGTGGAAAGATACATTTTTAATTGCCTGCACAGGCCTGGTGGAATAGAAGAGTGTTCAGTAGGCGTTTAAAAGTGGAAACAGAAGACACCTGCTGAATCTCTACAGGTATTTACAGTCACCCATAATACTGGACCAGTGACACTAAAAGCTCTATTTCTTGCTTTCAAACGAGTCTCACCAACTTGAGGAATGACCAACGGACCTCTCATGAAAACCCTATTAGAAGAAGATTATGTGGGTTGTTTCTCGCATTCAAACATACTTTCCCTTGAATTCAAATCATGATTAATTTTCCAGATTTTGAAAAGTGCCCAAGTGTTAATTATAAAAGAACAACGCAGGAACCGAGTGTGTTGTGACTTAGAAACAATTCTGTCCATGGTACTGTTGACTGGATTTGTTGTTGTTTGTTTAGTCATTTAGTCGTGTCCGACTCTTTGTGACCCCCATGGACCAGAGCACGCCAGGCACTCCTGTCTTCCACTGCCTCCCACAGTTTGGTCAAACTCATGCTGGTAGCTTCGAGAACACTGTCCAACCATCTCGTTCTCTGTCGTTCCCTTCTCCTTGTGCCCTCTATCTTTCCCAACATCAGGGTCTTTTCCAGAGAGTCTTCTCTTCTCATGAGGTGGCCAAAGTATTGGAGCCTCAGCTTCAGGATCTGTCCTTCCAGTGAGCACTCAGGGCTGATTTCCTTCAGAATGGATAGGTTTGATCTTCTTGCAGTCCATGGGACTCTCAAGAGTCTCCTTCAGCACCATAATTCAAAAACATGGCGATCAGCCTTCTTTATGGTCCAGCTTTCACTTCCATACATCACTCCTGGGAAAACCATAGCTTTAACTATACGGACCTTTGTTGGCATGGTGATGTCTCTACTTTTTAAGATGCTGTCTAGGTTTGTCATTGCTTTCCTCCCAAGAAGCAGGCATCTTTTAATTTTGTGACCACTAGTAGTGTATAAATTTTGTGACTGTTAGTAGTGTATAAATTGAATCACTTATGATTTGAATCATAGGGCTGGAAGGCCATGTGATCCAGCTCCCCACCTTGCTTGTTTAATATCTCATCTTTTATTTATTTAATATCCCAACTTTTTCTTCCCTTTCTATCCATCCTAGTTTTCCTTCCACCCCTTTTGTAGCAGTATATTGGATGTTGCTTGTAGTATGTCTTTATTTTAAAGTTTCTTAAAACAACAACAACAACGGCTCACTATGTAAAAAGCATCAGGGATTTCAGGGTCTCCTGAAATGTTTTAGGTTTACTTTTTAGGTGCCAAGCAAAGTTCATCCTGTTCCCACAGTGGTTTTTAGGATCTTTTTATTGGCCTTAGGTGCTGTCCTTATCAGGCTGCTTCTTTTGCCGTTTTATCTTCTGTAGTTTTTATGAGTCTTTTTTATGATATATGTTGTTTATTATGTTTTAATACGGGGTTGTTCTGCAAGTCACTTTGCAGGCACTTGTCAAAAGGCTGGATATAAATCCTATAAGCAAGCAAAGAAGCAAATGAACGGGCAAACAAACAAACAAACCAACAAACCAACAAACCAACCATGGCCTCCAAAATGGAATAGCAAATCCCAGATTCTTGGTTTACATTGGTGGCACTAAACTCCAAAGCTTGAGACTTATCTCAGTTCTCATGGCTGTATAATGTCCGCTTTTGATAGACATGTCTGAAATAAAAACTGAAAAAGTGTCCCAGATCGATCAATATTTAGCTAAAGGAACTAGAATTTAGGGGCACGGAGGACCAAGAAGGTAGCTCTTCTCCACGTTCCTCCACGTTGAAAGGGTTAATTGGGAATTATTTCCCCCCAGGACTTCCAATTATAAGTCTCCTCCTTGCCAGCCTGCCACCCTCTACTGAGCTCAGGGAATCAAAGGCTGGTTATCGTGAATATTGAGCTGCTATAACCTCTGTCCCCTTTTATTAAAGTGGCACTGCCATGAATTTCTCAGTTAATCACATGTTGGCTTGCAGAGGTCAGGGAACTAAAGCAGAGCAGAGGAAGGTAAAATGGTATTATGCAAATGGACTCGGACGGGAGTCCACCCAGGAAGAAGGGGATAAAGCAAATAACTCTTCGAGGGAGAGGCGTGAATCTCTGGCATAGGTTTGCTCAAGTTCTTCCCGTTGGGAAGAGCAAAATCAGGAGCGAAACCAGGGCTTTGGGGAAGGCAAGAGAAGACATCCAATGGCATCCTGCATTTTCTGATGCTCAGGCTTTGCTCATCTGCGAGAACAGAATGGCAGGCAGAGAGCTTTGTGGGCTGATCAGCTTGCTGGAGGGTGCAGGATAAAATTCCTGTGCTGTTGAGGGAAGCTTTTAATGTTTACTAGATTATTGTATTTTAATATTCTGTTGGAAGCCACCCAGAGTGTCTGGGGAAACCCAGCCAGACGGGCGGGGTATAAATAATAAATTTAATTAATAATAATAATAATAATAATAATAATAATAAGAATAATAATAATATTTTCAGCTGCTTACACTTTGCACAGAGGGACTTGAAGGCTATGTCTTCATCCGCTTGAATACAGTATCCCGTTACACATACCCACTGGAATTGTGGTGTGTGTGTGTGTGTATGTCGAGGTTCCAGTTTTCAGCCTCTTGCCTCCCCACCCCTTCATAGTTATGGGACAGCAAGCTGGCCAGCTTTTTCAAAAAGCCAGCTCAACGTCATGTACACGAAGAGCGACGTCTGAGAAGAGTGAAGTCCGAGACGTGGGGTTTTGTGACAAATAAAATAAATCGCAATAATGAATACATTTCTGTCATGCCTCCCCCTCAGAAGTCTTTCCCTCCTAAAGTAACTTCAGCTGTTGTAGCCTTTCAACTGCTATAGCCCCCTGATCACTTGATCTGCGCCGTTTCTGACATGCTTTCCCCCTCAGATTGGATGGCTAGAACTCTGTACAATATCCCAAGTGTAGCAACACCATACATAAAAACACGACGATGGTCTTATCAGCAGGAATGGAATACTTGTATTGAATCTCATTTTGTCCTCCGTTCAGCCAGTTTGGAGAGATTCCCTTTGAAGTTCTTCAGTGTCTGCTTGGGCTCCCATCATCCTGAATTACTGGGCGCCATTTGCATATTTGGCCATTTCACTGTGCACCAAACATCTCCAGATCATTAATAATCAAGTTGAAAGCACTGGTCCCAAAAGATGTTCTGGGGACCACGCCACTTTTGACTTGCCTTCCCTTGTGAGAAATTCCTCTTTTTTAAATGTTCTCTGCTTCTTGTTCTTTAAGGTTTTCATTTATTTAAGCTGTTAGTTGCTTTTATCTGCCAAAAGCAACCCAAAGTGACTTACAACCAACCCAACCTAAATCCAAAAGAGGACTCGCCATGACTTTTGGCCATATTTGGAAGTCCAAATATTTTCCTGCTTGCTCACACTTCCATGACCCATAGGAGAAATATTAAATGACATCTTCTATTCCCTGAAGCTCCTGACATCCATCTTGCACAGTCTTCTTAGCATCTTCATAATAATTATTTTTATTGAATATTTTCACCGCCCTTGATCTGCAGATCACAGGTGGTATACAATATAAAAACACAAAAATGCATATTATAAAAACAAATGAAGACAATACCCGCCTCCCTAGTTTAAAAGGCAATAGATTAATTATCCAAAGGCCTGGAAGAAGAAGAATTTTTTGCTTGTGATGCATACCCTCCTTCATTTTTCTGATGAAAATAGGGATGTCCTATTCAATAACAATGGGATGCGGGTGGCGCTGTGGGTTAAACCACAGAGCCTAGGACTTGCCGATCAGAAATTCGGTGGTCCGAATCCCCACGACGGGGTGAGCTCCCGTTGCTCGGTCCCAGCTCCTGCCCACCTAGCAGTTCGAAAGCACGTCAAAGTGCAAGTAGATAAATAGGTACCGCTCCTGCGGGAAGGTAAACGGCGTTTCCGTGCGCTGCTCTGGTTCACCAGAAGCTGCTTAGTCATGCTGGCCACATGACCCGGAAGCCGTACGCTGGCTCCCTCGGCCAATAAAGTGAGATGAGCGCCGCAACCCCAGAGTCGGTCACGACTGGACCTAATGGTCAGGGGTCCCTTTACCTTTACTTATTATATAGAACAACTTGAGGATCTGCAAAACAAATTAACTAGTCAGCTTCAACCAATGGAACCTAATCAAATCAAGTCTGGGCAGGTGTTCATTAAGAGATGGGGGTAATTTCTATCTCCATCACCTGGGCAAGTTATCAGCTGTGGTCATGCAGCAAAGTTTATTGTGATTCCTCCCTCACCACTGTGTGGACCTTGGGTGTAAGAGGCAAAAGGCACCCCCCCAGGACCCGCAGGCCATGCCTGACAACAGGGATGCCCACCAGCCAACACTGCCTCAGGTAAGTGTTCCATTCTTTCTGAAATCTTTTCAAATGCCCAGACTGCATGCCAGCTAACCAAACTTAAAGAACACCACTCAACAGTGTGGAGCAGGCAAAAAAAGAAGAAAAAAAGAGAGAAGGCCTGGAGCCAATTAGGGTCTCCCCCCCCCCCCAAAGAAAAATCCTACTCAGCCCCTGGAAAACAAACAACTAGCCTGTAGGCCCACACTGCAAAAATCGAATAAAGAAGAGGGAGGGAAATATTATTTTATGATTTATTAAATTTCTATACCACCCTTCTCCCATAGATCACAGGGTGGTTCACAGCATAAAAATACAAAATGAAAACAGGCCGGGGAAGAGAGCCTGTGCTTTTTGTTTCCGTTAAAACATGATTCTCTGTCGATATAGAGATCGCTCTTCTGCATTAGGAAGCCACTGGCAGAACTTCTGGTTAGAAGTGTGGTCTTGCAGGCATATCAAGTACATTTTTGGTGGTTAATGCATGCTCTTGTGTGTAACAAATATTTGTGCAAGCTATGCGAGCAATGGTCCAGGGCTCTGCCAACTCCGCTTTAGGAAGGAAGTTAACACTAGATACCCATTCATTCAGCTAGGGAAACCCACCAGAAGAAATACCTTCAAGCATTTCTGGTTCTGTATTTCCATTCCGGAGCAATGTAATAAAGCATCTTACTAAATCAGCAAGTTATTACAGTAGCAAGGGAGTACAAAATGATCGCTTGGATTTATTTACAATGTTATTCCAGGATAGGAAGGGTGTGGCAAATTTGTTCATGGGTTGAATGGCTCCATCTGGTACACAGGCTGAGACCCTACCTGCCTGCAGACTGCCTTACCTGAGTGGTGCATGCTCTAGTTATCTCCTGCTTGGACTACTGCAAGGAGCTCTATGTGGGGCTACCCTTGAAGGTGACTTGGAAACTGCAGTTAATCCAGAATGCGGCAGCTAGACTGGTGACTGGGAGTGACCGCCGAGACCATATAACACCGGTCCTGAAAGACCTACATTGGCTCCCAGTATGTTTCCAAGCACAATTCAAAGTGTTGGTGATGACCTTTAAAGCCCTAAACGGCCTCGGCTCAGTATACCTGAAAGAGCGTCTCCACCCCCATTGTTCTGCCCAGACACTGAGGAACAGCGCCGAGGGCCTTCTGGTGGTTCCTTCACTGCGAGAAGCCAAGTTACAGGGAACCAGGCAGAGGGCCTTCTTGATAGTGGCTCCCGCCCTGTGGAACGCCCTCCCACCAGATGCCAAGGAAATAAACAACTACCTGACTTTTAGAAGATATCTGAAGGCAACGCAGTTTAGGGAAGTTTTTAATGTTTGATGTTTTCTCGTGTTTTTAATATTCTGTTGGGAGCTGCCCAGAGTGGCTGGGGAAACCCAGCCAGATGATGGGGTATAAATAATAAATTATTAGTATTATTATTGAGTCTGCCCCTCACAACGGTCTCGTGAAGGGCTCAATCAATGTCGTTCCTAAGCTTTGGTAGGAAAAGTAAGGTAGAAGGCTTCGCAAAGAGTCTAAAAGTGAAACGAGAAGCCGAATGGGGTTCTGCCAGGTGGTAGAGTGGTGAGATGTTGAGGAGAGAATAAGCACAGCAGGGCCCTCCAGAACAGGCCATCTAATTAACTGCTTGCTCTCATTTTATTTCCTTCAATCTTTCCACTCCTGCATCATTTGTTCCCTTGTTTAAGTGAAACAGCAAGATACTTCTCAAAATTTTAATTCTGAAGTGCTGCAGTTGAGTCCTGTTGGGCGGGATGTCCTGGGGGCTTTGTTCTTGATGGTGTTGAGAGAGCTGGCGTTCCTGGGGTTATCGAAACTCAACAGGTTTGGGGGAAATGGAAGAACAAGGATATCTGCAAGGGACCCGAAAGGGCATTTGTGCCGCTCACAACCATTACATTATTTGCCCTCACCCCTGGCCCTGTCAGACTTTGAATGATGTTGCCTTTCCATAGCTGTGTCGCTGCGATGGTGGTTGCCATTTTTCTTCGCTACCGAGGCCTTGTATCGAGGGCAGAAATCCAGCTTTTTCTGAGGAGAAGCTGAAATCGTAGGAAAGCAAAATCTCTTGGATTTCTGCCTATGCTCGCATCTACACCAGAGATTGAAAGCCCATTGTTCTCCAGCTAGATAGCTCAGCTGGTTAGAGCATGGTGCTGGTAATGCCAAGGTTGCAGGTTTGAGCTCCACATGGGACAGCTGCATATTCCTGCATTGCAGGGGGCTGGACTTAGATGATCCTCAGGGTCCCTTCCAACTCTACGATTCTATGATTCAGAGAATCCTGGGAGCAGTAGTTTGTTAAAAGTGCTGGGAATCAAAGCTCTGCAAGGGGTACACTACAGTTCCCAGGGGACTTTGGGGGAAGTTGTGTGTTTTCATGTAGCTCAGGCTTCCTCAAACTCAGCCCTCCAGATGGTTTTTGGTCTACAACTCCCATGATCCCTAGCTAGCAGGACCAGGGGTCAGGGACGATGGGAATTGTAGTCTCAAAACATCTGGAGGGCCGAGTTTGGATCTAATCCAACCTCCTACAATGCAGAAATACACAGCTGTCCCAAACAGGGATCAAACCTGCAACTTTGGCACCATCAGCACCATGCTCTAACCAACTGAGGTATCCAGGCTCAGGGACTAAACAGAAATGTGGGGGAGCCCTTTGAATGTTCATTGAATGCTGGGCAGTGGGTTCAAGACTCTTCAGGAGCTGCAAATAAAGGGAACTTGAAATGGCTACCAAACCAGCATGTTTCAACTAGAGTGAACATGAGAGAGATCTGCATTGGCTCCCAGTACGTTTCCAAGCACAATTCAAAGTGTTGGTGTTGACCTTTAAAGCCCTAAACGGCCTCGGTCCTGTATACCTGAAGGAGTGTCTCCACCCCCATTGTTCAGCCTGGACACTGAGATCCAGCACTGAGGGCCTTCTGGCAGTTCCCTCCCTGTGAGAAGTGTGGTTACAGGGAACCAGGCAGAGGGCCTTCTCAGTAGTGGCGCCCGCCCTGTGGAACACCCTCCCTTCAGATGTCAAAGAGATAAACAACTATCTGACATTCAGAAGACATCTGAAGGCAGCCCTGTTCAGGGAAGTTTTTAATATTTAACGCTGTATTGTTTTTAACACTTGATTGGGAGCCGCCCAGAGTGGCTGGGGAAACCCAGCCAGATGGGCGGGGTATAAATAATAAATTATTATTATTATTATTATTATTATTATTATTATTATTATTATTTCACTATGGTAAAGGATGCGAGAGAGGTTATCTTGGCCTAGCAAGATCGCCCCACCTCAAATTATTAGTGCCTTAGGTTAATTTTCTGTTTTCAGGTAGGAAGTCTCTTCCTTTTTTTTTTTTTAAAATAATTTTTATTAACCGGCCAATCAAATCAAATCAAATCAAATCAAATCACATCACATAAATTCCAAATTACAAAGCCGAATTTTACATTTTTTGTTGGGGGGACCCATATTTCAAGTTCTGAAGGAGATTCCAATGATCTTCTTGCTGCTGCGTTAATATCCACAAATCTGTCCAAATAATGTTCATAATTCTATCCAGTCCTATCTTGCTGTTCCCACATCTCGTCTTGTTCGTATATTTTTCTTTTTTTCTTTATGATCTCTTCTGATAATCTCCTTAAGCAGGTAAACACCAGTTATAATCCTGTATGAATTTTTCCGTTCGTCCAATCATCATGTTGAGATGGTTTCCATATATCATCACTTTCATAAATAAAAGCACTCTTTCCATCATTAGTCTCGCAAATCTGTCGCCTTCTTTAGTCCCTCTGAGGAGGCTGACCCACAATATGAAAACAGATCTATTTCTCCTCCCAGACATAAATCTTTCGACAGAACTTGCCAAAATGGTGATGCTATTTTTTGCTGCGTCATTCCAAAGCTCTTATGCTTTCCACGATCTCCTTAAAACATGCTTTGGTTAGAAAATTATCTCCACACAGTCTTAAATCCTCAGCTTAAGTCATTTAAACGGCATTTCTGACTTGTGGGGGGGGATTCTTGGTTAATCACATAGAGAAAAGAAAGGAAAGTCCCCCCCCCATCCAGTCCCTTTGCCGAACATACCGAGCCTTGGTGTGTCTTCTCATAATTTATGCCTGTTCCTCCGACCCGTCTTGTTTCTCAGAGATCTCTTCAGTTAGCAGTCTTTACTCCCCATTCTTCCTTGAAATATGTGCATTAGCTTCCTCCTAATTGTTTCTTTTGAAGTTGCTGCAGCTAGAGGCGCGAATCAGAGACAGCGTCCAGGAGCGCCGAAATCCGCACAAGGGCTTTCTGCCTAGTGCCCCCACCCCCTCAAGTTCGGGGGTGGTATAGGGCACAGCAGGCAAGGGCAGTCCCCCCCCCACGCTTGGGGGGGGCTGGGAGGCTGTTTACTCCCATCACAGCCTCTTAATTACCTCGTGTGGGTCGGAGAGATGTTATTGTCAGCCATCTTCCGATGCGCCCCTAGTGGCCCCCGGTGGGAAGTCTCTTCCAACCCTACCTGGGACCGTCTGCATACAAGGCAACCCTCCAACATTTCTCACATGAAAATAGGGACGTCCCATTCCATAATGATAATTTTACTATTTATACCCCACACATCTTGCTAGGTTGGGGTTATGGGAGTTGTAGTCCCAAAACATCTGGAGGGCCGAGTTTGGGGATGCCTGGATTAGATGATCCTCAGAGTCCCTTCCAATTTTACAATTTCTAGGCACAAGTCCAAGAGGTTTCTGTTTGCCCCACTGCAGAAAACCTGATTGATGTTCTGATTCATTTTTTAAAAATATAATATTATTTTTATTTTTTCAAATTAACAATAATAATCAAATACAACTACATATAGTTGTTTGGACTCCTCTCCTCTCCTTCCTTGGTTCCCTATACAAGCATTTGCAAAAGTGCATCTCTTCCTTAACTCCTTTATTATACTTTATACTTCTTCCAAAGTCACCTTTTAACTACAGTGGTTTGTTGTTGTTTAGTCGTTTAGTCGTGTCCGACTTTTTGTGACCCCATAGACCAGAGCACGCCAGGCACTACTATCTTCCACTGCCTCCCGCAGTTTGGTCAGACTCATGTTTGTAGCTTCGAGAACACTGTCCAACCATCTCATCCTCTGTCGTCCCCTACTCCTTGTGCCCTCCAGTCTTTCCCAACATCAGGGTCTTTTCCAGGGAGTCTTCTCTTCTCATGAGGTGGCCAAAATATTGGAGCCTCAGCTTCAGGATCTGTCCTTCCAGTGAGCACTCAGGGCTGATTTCCTTCAGAATGGATAGGTTTGATCTTCTTGCAGTCCATGGGACTCTCAAGATTCTCCTCCAGCACCATAATTCAAAAGCATCAATTCTTCGGCGTTCAGCCTTCTTTATGGTCCAGCTCTCACTTCCATACATCACTCCTGGGAAAACCATAGCTTTAACTATACAGACCTTTGTTGGCAAGGTGATGTCTCTACTTTTTAGGATGCTGTCTAGGTTTGTCATTGCTTTTCTCCCAAGAAGCAGGTGTCTTTTAATTTCGTGGCTGCTGTCACCATCTGCAGTGATCATGGAGCCCAAGAAAGTAAAATCTCTCACTGCCTCCATTTCTTCCCCTTCTATTTGCCAGGAGGTGATGGGCCCAGTGGCCATGATCTTCGCTTTTTTGATGTTGAGCTTCAGACCATATTTTGCGCTCTCCTCTTTCACCCTCAATAAAAGGTTCTTTTAACTACTTTTAACTACTAGCTTTTAAATTAGCCCTGCTAATGTATTTAATTGTTTTCAATATATATATTTTTAATAATCCACACATTTCCTCATTCCTTGCTGAAAGTTCTTTCTTCGTGATTTCTCAATCATCCCGTGAGTTTTGCCATTTCCGCATAGTCCATTAACTTTGCTTGCCATTCTTCCTTTGTTGGGGCAGTACCCTCCTTCCACCTCTGGGCAGATAGCATTCTGGAGGCTGCAGTTACTTACATAAACAATTTTGCCTGGTCTTTCGGTATATGCATTCTGATTCAGCAGCAAACTGTGGGTTTTCCTGCATTGGTTGAAAGAACCTCTTGGACCTGGGACTCGAACTCACGGGACAAACGACAGTGTGCCTGAGCCTTCAGTGAAGGAAGTTCTGAGCTTGTGGCCCAATGGTCTAACTCAGTATGAGACAGCTTCCTTTGTATGTATTTTCTGTCATGTTTGTTGAATGGTGCATGTCTTAAGCCAGGGGTCAGCAAACTTTTTCAGCAGTGGGCCGGTCCACTGTCCCTCAGACCTTGTGGGGGGACGGACTAGATTTTTTTTTTAAAAAAGAACCAATTCCTATGCCCCACAAATAACCCAGAGATGCATTTTAAATAAAAGCACACATTCTACTCATGTAAAAACACCAGGCAGGCCCCACAAATAACCCAGAGATGCATTTTAAATAACAGGACACATTCTACAGTGGTACCTCAGGTTAAGTACTTAATTCGTTCCGGAGGTCTGTACTTAACCTGAAACTGTTCTTAACACGAAGCACCACTTTAGCTAATGGGGCCTCCCGCTGCCACTGCGCTGGCGGAGCCCGATTTCTGTTCTTATCCTGAAGCAAAGTTCTTAACCTGAAGCACTAGTTCTGGGTTAGCGGAGTGTGTAACCTGAAGCGTATGTAACCTGAAGCGTATGTAACCCGAGGTACCACTGTACTCATGTGAAAACACCAGGCAGGCCCCACAAATAACCCAGAGATGCATTTTAAATAAAAGGACACATTCTACTCATGTAAAAACACGCTGATTCCTGGACCATTCGCGGGCCGGATTTAGAAGGCGATTGGGCCGGATCCAGCCCCCGGGCCTTAGTTTGCCTACCCATGTCTTAAGCAAACTTAACAAGTGTTATATGGCGATGCCTTGTGATAGTGAAGATGCAAGGAATGAACTCGTGGAACAGGAATGACTCTGTGCATCACGGATATTTTGAAATACCAGATTCAAGATGGAGCTTGAATTGGTGGCAGTAGTTTAATTGCAGCTTGGGGGTGTGTGTGTGTGCGGCAGGCTGACATTTTTTATTTACTTTTGTTATTCTCAGGACTTCCAATATTGTGCTCCTTCAATGGAACTTTCTCTCTTTCCTCGCCTCCTCTCTTCTCCTCTGCCTTCTACTCTTCTGTCTTGAGTTTGCTGCTTCTTGATTAAAATGTTGACTTTAACTTGGAATTAACCTGATTAATGTAATTGAAAGTAAAAGTCCGCTGCTCAGCACTTTGGGTGATGAGTGGAGATGGATTGAGAAAGAAAGCTTTCAGATTGAATATACTTCTCTCCCCTGGCTGTTAATTGCTCCGTTTACTGGTACCTGCCTCACTGACCGTCACTGTTTAGTCCAGTTAATGATGATACACAGTCCATACTTTCCAGAGATAATTAAAAAACATTTCAGCACATAACGGTACTGCAGGGAGTTTTCCTCTCAGTCACAGGGAAAAAAGACCTCAGAGGGGAGCGGTGCGCTGGGAGGGGAACATGTGCTGTTGCAATCTCTGTAGAGTTTCACCCTTTTGGAAAAAAAGAAGCGTCAACTTTAAGTGCTGTTGCTAATATCTGTGCAGGTGTCTGTCTTAGGGAAGAGACAGGTAAGGAATCCGCTCTGGGGAGAAATGAGAGAGAAGTAAAAACAAATTAATGCAGGGTGGAAAGCCCCTCTTCCTATCGTTGATACCAGGCATCCCCAAACTCAGCCCTCAAGATGTTTTGGGACTACAGTTCCCATCGTTCCTGACCTGTTACCTAGGGATGATGGGAGTTGTAGTGTACTGGGGGTGCCTTCCCTGCTTTTGGGGTTAGGGGTGAGAGTCTTGCTATAGGGCAGGAGTGGAGAAGCTGCTGTTGGGCTGCAACTCCCATCAGCTCCATCCAGCATGGGTGAGAGTTGATATTCAGCAGTATCTGGAGGGCTACAGCCTCCCTGCTTCAGCTGTAGGGTGTGAGAGTCCTTGGTTGAACTCTTGGAAAGCCCAGCTGGGGCGGGGATTGAATGGCTTCTTCCAGTTTCCTAAGAAGAGAGCTTTCCCTTGTTGCAGGAAACCACCACCCCCATCATTCAGTTTGTACAAACACCACACACACACACACACACACACACACACACGCACGCACACACATGACATATGCAACGTTTCTGTTATAAATTCATAGTAAATCAACCATACATCTGATTTACACGGGTCCACTTTTATTTTACTCCATGAAGGAAGGACTATCAAAGGGGGATGGTTTGATACAGGACAGCCATAATCCCTTAACCATACCAGCACATACACAGGAGCCCTACCCAGTTGGCATGGCAACCTTGATGGTCCCAGACAGAAGACCATCCAGGTCACAAAGGACTTGCATATGGGAGTGGATTCAACATGGACTGGAACAAAGGACAATGATCTGATCTTCCCTCTGGGGGCAGGAAACTGCCAGCTCCCTTTTGTCCTCTGGAAATGACTCAGGGGGAGGTGCCAGGTGACAAGATACTCAGGTTACTTCCACAACCCCTCCTTCAACCCCTCCTTTTTTGTGATGTAGTTGTGATGTAGTCTTAGCGGTGTAGTTTGGGGGATTAGTAACTAATAAAAGTTGGGGTCTTCTTTTGTTCTGGACTTCCATTTTGCTTCATCTTGTTGCGGGTGGGAGTCCTGTCACGACAGTATTCAATAAAGGCCAAGCTTACAGGCTGCTGTTTTGCTCCAAGTTATCCTGGTTGGTGTCTTTGTTTTAGTTCAAGGGAGCCCTCAGATTCCTCCGTTAATACCCTCTTCCTCCTTAGCCACCCCAACACAGTGCTGCAATGAGGAAGAAACCGCATCCACCCTTCTGCTGATTGACAAAACGTTTGTGAGAAGTGTGAGTGCAAGCGATGTGTCATGCAGTCCTTGGAGGGAACCCTCAGTGCCAGAAAAGGTTAGCTTCTTCTGTGCTCTCCTATCTGATCACCATTGGTCTATTTGCATGAAATGCCATTTGCGTGAATCTGCACCATTTAAGGAGGTGCGAGTATCTAAAACAGGGTCTCCAGCTGTTTTTGGACTATAGTTCCCATCATTCCCGATCACTGGTTCTGCTAGCTAGGGATGATGGAAGTTGTAGTCTAAGAACAACTGGAGAACCAAGTTTGGGAAACCCTGATCTAAAAGGATTGATACATTAAAGAGCTACAAGTGTTTTCCATAACTGCAGAATGAGGCTCACAACTAGGAAAAAGTATATACAGTGGTACCTCGGGTTAAGTATTTAATTCGTTCATTTATTTAATCAATTACATTATTTCCCCCCCTTTATTCTCCCCTCAACCCTCCCTCTCCCTCCCACCAAGGACTTCCCTCAGCTCCCCTCCCTGATTTTTTTACATAACTTGTTTTCTGCACGTTATAAAATTGTACATACTCTTACTTTATCTATCATATGTTCAACTAATAAATTTGTGAATGTTTATTCAAAACCTGCCAAAGCATCCAGTTCGTTTTGTTGTCTTTTTAAATACAGTGGTACCTCGGGTTAAGTACTTAATTTGTTCCGGAGGTCTGTTCTTAACCTGAAACTGTTCTTAACCTGAAGCACCACTTTAGCTAATGGGGCCTCTTGCTGCTGCCACGCTACCGGAGCACGATTTCTGTTCTCATCCTGAAGCAAAGTTCTTAACCCGAGGTAATATTTCTGGGTTAGCGGAGTCTGTAACCTGAAGCGTATGTAACCCGAGGTACCACTGTAATTGCATCCCTGAGTCCGTCTTCTGGAAAATAGGCTTTCACCATATCTTTCTTTTTCTCAGTATGCCATGCAAACTTTATTGAAAGGTGAGCATGATCTTTGAATACGAGGCATATGTGACAAGCATTAAAAACTGAAATTAAATTAAAGGCAACCACCTTTTTGATATGGACACAGCGGCAGAGATACGGGGGGCATATGGGGAACTGCAGCTTTTAATGGCATCTTTGTGATCAGGTTTGTTCACAGGAACCTGAAAATGAACAGACACCAAATAATCTAAAATAGCTCTATTTTGTGCAGACTAAAGATGGCTGCTTACAGTATTCATCACATCAGCCACAGACAGGAAAACTTGTTGGGAGCAAAAAGAGAGTCTTAGTATTGCTTAGGAAAGCACTCCCAGGCAAGTAGAACCGCTCAGGGTTCGAGTTGGCAAAGTTAGCTCAGTGGGCCGCAGTCGCACTGAGCAAAGAGTCTCAGCTGCTGTCACATATAACTACATCAAGCTGAGGGGCTGGCCCATTGACTTTTAATGGATCCACAGTACAGAATTGCAAGCTGAATTTTGGTTCTGCCTCATACATTCTTAGCAAATGCATGAGTTAAGTTCCAGCAGTAAAGCCTTCATTGCTGATGATAATGGACAAAGTGTAAAGAAGCCAGCTGGAGCTACTCATTTCAGGTGCACTGTTTTGTGACACTGCAACCCTGTGGGAGGCAAGGAGGGAATTATCTTTTTGGCTGGTGACAGGGTAGCACCACTGGAAGGTTTCCTGAATGTCCCGGAAGGAAATCGACCCCGAACCTATCTTTTCCCATCCCTGGGCTTCACAGGGACCAACCATATTGGCATCTGCAGGAGATTGGTCTCTTCATTTGTTGTTGTTATTGTTGTTGTTTAGTCATTTAGTCGTGTCCGACTCTTCGTGACCCCATAGACCAGAGCACGCCAGGCACTTCTGTCTTCATTTTTCAATGCTGCCCATCTGGTGATGTCCATGTGTAGAGTCGTCTCTTGTCTTGTTGGAAAAGTGTGTTTGTGATGACCAGCTTGTTCTCTTGACAGAACTCTATTAGCCTTTGTCCTGCTTCGTTTTGATCTCCAAGGCCAAACTTGCCAGTTGTTCCTTTTATCTCTTGATTCCCTACTTTAGCATTTCAATCCCCTATAATGAGAAGAACATCCTTCTTTGGTGTCACTTCTATAAGGTGTTGTAAGTCTTCATAGACTTGGTCAATTTCAGTTTCTTCAGCACCAGTAGTTGGTGCATAAACTTGGATTACTGTGATGTTAAAAGGTCTGCCTTGGAGTCGTATCGAGATCATTCTATCATTTTTGAGATTGCATCCCAGTACAGCTATCGCCACTCTTTTGTTGACTATGAGGGCCACTCCATTTCTTTTACGGGATTCTTGCCCACAATAGTAGATATACTATTCATGGTCTCTTCATGGTGTCCTACAACTCTTGAAAACATAAAAGGACCCTAGTGACCACCAAGAATGGCAAGGCTGGCCAAGAAAACTATACCCAAAATTGATTATAGTTTCAGCTAGAGGTGTATATTAACCCTGAGTGGGGGGCTTAATAAGGCAAATTGAGATGATTTGGGGGTCCCCCTCCCAAATCAAAGTACGTCAACAACCCCTCTCTGAGTTGAAACAGGGACAAAGTCTTTATCTGTTGCTCTATATCTGTACTTTTCTGTGTTGAACAGTTTTATATTTTCCTGCATTGCTATATTTCTCTATTTGTCTGAGCTTTGCAAAATTCAACTTTGAAATAAGTGGAGCACTGACAATGTCTGTATTATAATTTTTTTAATTAAAGCACAGCAGCATGTTTTTTTTAAAAAAGTAGAAGCTTAATTTAAGCTTATTTTAAAATTCCAGGTTACTCTGCTTTAACAACAACAACAAAATCAAACACAAGGTCTAACACAGAACACAAAGAAGTAGTGGAGAGGGAAGACTGATGTAAAGCTGCAAACTTTAAAATAAATATGGGGAAGAATCAATTATCTCTTCATTATCATAAAGCAGGGAAGGGAAAAAGACAGCATCCCCATACACAAAGTATTAGGAAAGTGAATCTCTTTTACTTTACTTTCCCCACAAAAAGCAGCTGGACCTATTTGTCTGCAATTTGGCAGGCTTAATCCACTCTGACGGCAGCTCGTATGCCTGTAAATTTCATCCACTTTGGCCACGATGGGGAAAATTAGAGCCAATGTTAGCTTTCCTATTATAGTAAATGGGGACCAGAGAGAATTGTTTTCCACAGAGGAGCTTGGAACCCAAACTGCAGATCAAAGCAAAGTGAGCATAAAGTGATCTGGGAGCAGATTGGAATGTTTAAAAATGCACAGATACAAGGTGAATCTTGGGACCTGTACACCACCCTAGTTTCATCTCTCACAACTGCAGTCCATTTGTCAAGCAGTGACAAGTTTTCCAAGTCGTGGGTAACCATGTCAAAAGAAGGCTACTGTAGAATGCATTTACTAGAACTAGGATACACAACTTTCTTCTACTACCAGCTCTACTAACAGTGTGCAAAGTAGTGAAAGCTGAAGTGGAGGCTTTTATGGAAGGTGATAGACCTCCAATTTTTCAATATTTTCTAGCTCATTGACACTTAATTACTTATTAGATAAGCATGGACAACAAGACAAATGTCGAAAAATGAACAACAAACCACAATACACAAAATCTGATTAGGATAAAACATGCTCTTTACATCATAGGCAACTAGAACTAGAGCCAATCTGTTCCAAGAAAAAAAATAAATTGGGATAGAGTTCTAAATTTGCAAACTTAGGAGCAAGAAGGGCCATGGATATTCAATAATTTACCATCTAGTTTAATGTATGTAAACCTAAAGGAGAGCTTCAATTAAGTGAAACGTATCATAACACTCCAGACTCTAAAGGCTAACTGAAAATCAACTTTACTCTGTTATGTAAAATAATAAAAACAAGAAGTGGACCCTCAGCTTATCATAAATCTTCCAGTTGCAGCAAGGATGTATACTGCTCATTGTTCAAAACCAACAGAAATACCTTGTAGACCATGGGTAGGCAAACTAAGGCCCGGGGGCTGGATCCGGCCCAATCGCCTTCTAAATCTGGCCCATGGACGGTCCAGGAATCAGTGTGTTTTTACATGAGTAGAATGTGTCCTTTTATTTAAAATGCATCTCTGGGTTATTTGTGGGGCCTGCCTGGTGTTTTTACATGAGTAAAGGTAAAGGGACCCTTGACCATTAGATCCAGTCGTGGCTGACTCTGGGGTTGTGGCGCTCATCTCGCTTTATTGGCCGAGGGAGCTGGCGTACAGCTTCCGGGTCATGTGGCCAGCATGACTAAGCCGCTTCTGGCGAACCAGAACAGCGCACGGAAACACCGTTTACCTTCCCACTGGAGCGGTACCTATTTATCTACTTGCACTTTGACGTGCTTTCAAACTGCTAGGTTGAGATGAAGATGATGGATTTTATGGAGCTAGCCGATCTAACCGGAAGAGTCCGCGACCAGAAGGAGGAGGAACACCACGAAGAATGGAAGAAATTTAATGATTATTTAGCTAAATTTGTTAAGCTAAAATAACTGGAAATAGCCTCCAGATACTTAATGGGCTTAGGATTGTATTTATGTTAACTGATAAAATAATATGTCTAATACAAGAAGGAGAAGATTTAAAGATGTTAATGTTTAATTTAAAGGGTATTAAAATTGGGATTTGGAAAACCGTTATAAGGATATGCAATGAAATTCAACTAAGGGGAAACGAGGAAGTCGTTTTACAAAGTAAATAACTGTTATTTTCAATAAGGTTATGATTTATGTTTGTTATGTCTTGTTTGTTTTATGTTTTTGTTTGTCGTTGATATTGTAAAAACTAATAAATTTTTTGCAAAAAAACCCACACAAAACTGCTAGGTTGGCAGGAGCAGGGACCGAGCAACGGGAGCTCACCCCGTCGCGGGGATTTGAACCGCCGACCTTCTGATCGGCAAGTCCTAGGCTCTGTGGTTTAACCCACAGCGCCACCCGAGTCCTGTTTACATGAGTAGAAGGTGTGATTTTATTTAAATGCATCTCTCGGTTATTTGTGGGGCATAGGAATTTGTTCATTCCCCCCCCCCAAATATACTCTGGCTCCCCACAATGTCTGAGGGACAGTGGATTGGCCCCCTGCTGAAAAACTTTGCTGACCCCTGGTATAGATGGTATACAGTTACATTTTATTGCAATAGTTTTTTTTATTGGTTTGATCTGGTAGGGTAGCTTTGATTATTAGCAAATGCAGTTTTCCAAGCCATGCAGTCATGCATATCCATTGACAATCTGTAAGTCGCATAACGTCTCGCAGGCCTGATAGGGTCACGTGCTGCTTTTCAGCCAGGTGTCAAAATACCTGGGTAGTAGCAAAATCCGTTCTAGGATTGCTTTTATGAAAACCAACATGCAGCATTTGCTCCCGCACACCATATGCTGAAAATATGAAATCCATTTCTGCGGAAAGTCCAGATTTAGTAGATCTGACTTTCACATTCACCCGGTGCTATACCAGCTGCACTGGTTCCCGGTAGAGTGCAGGATCAGGTTTAAGGTGCTGGTTTTAACCTTTAAAGCCCTATATGGCCTAGGACTCTTGTGCCTACGGGACTACCTCTCCTGGTATGTCCCACAGAGGAATTTACGGTCTTCAAACAAAAACATCTTGGAGGTCCCAGGCCACAGAGAGGTTAGGCTGGCCTCAACCAGAGCCAAGGCTTTTTCGGCTGTGGCTCCGATCTGGTGGAACGCTCAGTCACAAGAGACTAGGGCCCTGCGGGACTTGACATCTTTCCACAGGGCCTGTAAGACAGAGCTGTTCCACCAGGCCTTTGGTCAGGGCACAGCCTGACTCCCTCCTTTGGCAATCTTCACAGAACTCTAGCCCAATGGTTTCCATCCATTAGATTTGAATTAATTTTATAATGAATGATTTTAGAATGTTGTGCTATTTTATTGTTGTTAGCCGCCCTGAGCCCGGCTTCGGCTGGGGAGGGCGGGATATAAATAAAATTTATTATTATTATTATTATTATTATTATTATTATTTATTATCTTTGCCATTATTTAAAAGCTGAGACCTGAGATGTAAGTCTGAAAATTCGGAACTTGCCACTGCGATATGAATATTGCCGCTTTCATCGCTGCTCCAGTATTAAATACTGAAATCTCAGTGATTCCCCGCTCCTCAGATTCAAAAATGTGATAATTGAAAAGGAAAAATTGCATTTGGACAGAGGGAAAAATGAACACGTGAGAGTGCTGGCTGCCATTTCTTCTGAGAGAGCCTAAAGATTACTGGTTCACCCACTTACTAGACCAACTAGAGCTATGATCTTTGTAAGTGTCTTTCATGGGATCTCATACCAGCTGTTTCTGTTTCTGTCGGTGTTTGTTAGCTGCCTGGGCTCCTAATTCTGCTTCAGCTACAATTGCCAGACAAAAAGGACATTCAGGCAGTAATTGTATTCCAGAAATACAGCAGACTCGGAAGCAATTGTTATTACAATTGGGGTGGTGGTAGTGGCATTGTTTTTGTTTGTTACTATGGTACATATTTTTGTGTTTTTCTATTGCAAACTGCCCTATGATCCTTAGATGAAGTATCGGAATTTAATTAATTCGTAATACACATAATAATTGCAACAACATTTGTGAATGAATGGCGAACAACCATTGTCTTCTCAGGTTGCGTGACTCCACCACCGCCACCAGTTCAGGTTCAAGACCACAAAGAATTAATATTGCTATTACAGTGGTACCTCGGGTTACATATGCTTCAGGTTACATGCGCTTCAGGTTACAGACTCCGCTAACCCAGAAATAGTGCTTCAGGTTAAGAACTTTGCTTCAGGATGAGAACAGAAATCAGGCTCCGGCGGCACGGCGGCAGCAGGAGGCCCCATTAGCTAAAGTGGTGCTTCAGGTTAAGAACAGTTTCAGGTTAAGAACGGACCTCCGGAACGAATTAAGTACTTAACCTGAGGTACCACTGTACTTCTGCCCCACCCTTCCTCCCAAAGGAGTCCAGGGTGGCAAACAACAAAACAGGAAAACAATACAATAAAATGTGAAATAGATTTTTTTTAAAAAAACCCTTTGGAAATTTATGCAGCGCATCTTGGGACTCCGGTAGGATTCCAAACTGCACAACCTAATTAACAAGGAGGGCTCTGTGTCTGAGCACTGCTCCTTGCGATGAGCATGTTCATGCCCCTGTGAAATAGTGTGGTCGATAGCTGGGAATTACCTGGGGTGGGTTGAAAAGTTGGTTTGGACCAGCCTTCTGCAACATGCGCTTTAGACTACAACTCCCATCATCCCCGACCAGTGGCCATGTTGGCTGGGGCTGATGGAACTTGTAGTCCAACAACATTTTGGAGGGCACCAGTTTGGGGAAAGCTGGTTAAGACACTCTTCACCTACTCCTGCCTGTCTGTAAGTAACCCACAATGGCCGGGGAGGGCAGGGAGAACTTCTGTAGATCAGCCCTGGTCTCAACGTGCGACCCTTCAGCTTCCATTTAATTCTGCAGACTTCTTTCTGCATTCCCTTTGCCTGAATGCTGTGGGACAATGAGCAGTAAAGGTGACGAGTCCACACTGAGACAGTGACGTGTCCCCCTTGCTGTTACATATAATTAATAAATAAAGCACAGGGGGAGTTCTTACCATGTTGGCTGCTATGACAGGGGCTGTCTACAGTGCACTTAAGCATTAAATGACCAATTTCTGTCAGACTAACTTCCCAAGCCTTCTCTCTCTCTCTCTCTCTCTCTCTCTCTCTCTCTCTCTCTCTCTCTCTCCTCCTTCTCCTCCTCCTCTTTTCCCCGTTTGCTTTCTCACTTACAGAGCAAGTCTCCTCGCTCTCTGCACTTGGAGTTTTTCAGCAACTGATGGTTCCTGGTTCATTTCTGTGGAATTAATTGGTCCCTGAATGAATTGTTTTGACAGGGCAATTTATCATGTGTTTGGGTTGACAGTGCTGTATACCGGAGGGGTTCCTGGAGGGGAGGAGGGGAGATGGGCAGGGCAGTGGATGCTTGTGCCAGGAGTTTGCAAAGAAAGGAAGGCATGGGAGGAGGAGGAAGAGGAAGAGGAGGAGGAGAGAAAGGAGGAAAGGCGACAACCGGGAGGCAGTTAAAAATAGAAAGAGCCACATTCCGTTCACCATCTCTTCCCCCACCCCACTCCATCATGTTGAACAGAGGAGAGTCTCCTGGTTATTCTCTCACCCTCTTGGCAAATGCAGACACTTCCCTTGCCAAGTTCCAGATTCAAACATGGACGGGACCCACAAGAGCCGGCAAAAGTTTTCTTGCCTGCCCGGGGTATATGTAGTTCTTTCTGGGCCCAATGTTTGAGTGAGCTCTTAGCATTCAAGTCACCAAGACCAATCACGAAGCCCTAAACCCTACAGAGGCAGCCTTGGATTAGCACACGACTGAGTTACTTCTCATTTTAGAAGAATGTGACAAATTTGACAGCTGTTATTTGAGTTTGTTTGGCATGATAATCAGGGGCTTAGCAATGCCAAGAGCATAAACAGTCAGATGTACCATTTTTAGCATGCAAAACTTGTGATTTATCCAGATTTGGCTTTTTCTGTTACCTAATGTTTGGATTCTCAATATTCTAAAATCTGTGGACTTACTGATCACCCAGCCTTATTGCCGATTGACAGACAGACATACTGACGCAACGAATACTTGTCACTGACTACAACTTCCCCCCATCTGGATGAGTGCATGTTTTGCTGACTAATGTACAGAGTTTATTTTATCTTCCTTCGTTTGTCTGCATTGATATTCAGCAGCAAGCATTGCATGATGCTGTCAGAATTCATCCTCGTCCCCATGGTGGAAAACAAGACTAAGAAAAAAGCAGTATGACTAACGATACTGATTACAGGGCAACAATCGAGAGCCCTTTGCAATATACCTTGCATCTTCCTCCCCTTTTGGGGAAAAAAAATATAGGTGCAAGGGATTGAGTAAATTCTCAAACCTCAAACAAAAAGCTGTCTGCTATTTCACTGTTCAAGGAAGATGTTGCAGTGCAGTGGATGGTATTCAATGTTGTTTGTTGTTGTTTAGTCGTTTAGTCGTGTCCGACTCTTTGTGACCCCATGGACCAGAGCACGCCAGGCACTCCTGTCTTCCACTGCCTCCCGCAGTTTGGTCAAACTCATGCTGGTAGCTTCAAGAACACTATCCAACCATCTCACCCTCTGTCGTCCCCTTCTCCTTGTGCCCTCAATCTTTCCCAACATCAGGGTATTTTCCAGGGAGCCTTCTCTTCTCATGAGGTGGCCAAAGTATTGGAGTCTCAGCTTCAGGATCTGTCCTTCCAGTGAGCACTCGGGGCTGATTTCCGTAAGAATGGATAGGTTTGATCTTCTTGCAGTCCATGGGACTCTCAAGAGTCTCCTCCAGCACCATAATTCAAAAACATCAATTCTTTGGCGATCAGCCTTCTTTATGGTCCAGCTCTCACTTCCATACATCACTACTGGGAAAACCATAGCTTTAACTATACGGATCTTCAATATACGGTATTCAATGTTAGTCATCTGCTAGTAGACCCATGTAACAAGTCCACTAATTTCAGCGAGTCTACTCTGTAGACTTTAGGGCTCATCATCCACACTTCTGCTGGTTCCATTCTTAGAAAGCACATGTCTAGGTGGTTTTTCGTTTCTGCCCCACTTTCCCTGGGAAAACCTGCCATTTATCACTGACTCGGAACAAGCTTAAAACCACAGAAAAACCAATGGATGCTTGTTCCATTTCAACGGTAAGCAGGGGGGTTACCCCAGGGGAAAGCAGTGGGCCAAGTAGAAGTGTAGACATGCCTTAATGGGTATCACTCAGACATGGGTGGTGCTGTGGTCTAAACCACTGAGCCTCTTGGGCTTGCTGATCAGAAGGTTAGCAGTTTGAATCCCTGTGACGGGGTGAGCTCCCATTGCTCTGTCCCAGTTCCTGTAAATCTAGGAGTTCGAAAGCACACTAGTGCAAGTAGATAAATAGGTACCACTGCGGCGGGAAGGTAAATGTGTTTCCGTGTGCTCTGCTTTCCGTCACGGTTTTCCGTTGCACCAGAAGCGGTTTAGTCATGCTGGCCACATGACCTGGAAAGCTGTCTGTGGACAAACGCTGGCTCCCTTGGCCTGAAAGCAAGCTGAGCGCCACAACCCCATAGTCGCCTTTGACTGGACTTAACCGTCCAGGGGTTCTTTACCTTTACTTCACCTTTTTCCTTCCTCCGCTTCAAATTGGATATGGTGATTGTACACACTATTTGATCACCAAATGGCAAATTATATTCCATCCCCTTCCAAAAATCCCCCTTGGAATGATGTAGGGATAGCTCAGTTGGTAGAGAATGAGACTTAATCTCAAGATTCCTGCATTGCATGGGGTTGGACTAGATGACCTTTGTAGTCCCTTCCAACTCTATGATTCTAAGGTGATTCAGAGGTATGAAGGGCAGCTCCTGATAGGAGTGCTGAGGCCATTTCTGTGAGACAAGAGACAGCGGCTGAAGGTGAAAGGCCAGTTTTGCATTCAGTTAGAAGTCCTCATTGGAGAACCTTTGGCCAAGTCTATTAGTAGACTGCAGGTGGATTTCAGTATTACCATAATTACTATGCTGGAGATGTAAATATTATTCTTTACCACTGATATTTAATCTCTCGTGTTACCTTCTTTTAAATTAGCATGATATGGCTTAGAACACGAGAAGGCATTGACATATTCTGAAAATACTCAAAACTTGCATGTTCTTGCAGAATTGTCTTTCATAGAAGACCACAAGTATTACTTTTTTAATGCTTGTAAAATCTTTTAATCCATTCAACATCATTTGAATTTTTGATATAATTTTTTAGCATTTGCTTTTAAGTCAGATAGAATGTGCGTTTTAGGGGATGCGGGTGGCGCAGTGGTCTAAACCACTGAGCCTCTTGGGCTTGCCGATCAGAAGGTCGGCAGTTCGAATCCCCGCGATGGAGTGAACTCCCGTTGCTCAGTCTCAGCTCCTGCCCACCTAATAGTTTGAAAGCACGCCCCAAAGTGCAAGTAGATAAATAGGTACCACTGTGGTGGGAAGGTAAACGGCGTTTCAGTGCGCTGCTCTGGTTTTGGTGTTCCATTGCGCCAGAAGCGGCTTAGTCATGCTGGCCACATGACCTGGAAAAACTGTCTGCGGACAAACGCTGACTCCCTTGGCCTGTAAAGCGAGATGAGCGCTGCAACCCCAGAGTTGTCTGCGACTGGACTGAACTGTCAGGGGTCCTTTACCTTTTTAGGATGTTCCTTTAGCCCTATGAGATTGCTTTTGTTTTCACTGTGATCAGATGGAATCACAGTGGATCTCGCTTTCTGGATTTCATTGTATTGTTGTGAGCTGGTTTTTTCAGGAGGTGGTTTAGGCTGTATGTCTGAGTCCCTTCTCATTCCTGGATCCAGCAAGGGTTAAAATCTAATGGAGGATTCAACTATTGGAATAGCCAGACCAGCTTCTTGGAAATAGCCCCCAAGTATGGGTCATAAATATAAGAAAGAAAGCTGCCCGAGGGGAAAGCCGAAGTTGAGTGTATGTGAAATATACTCGGAGTCGAGAGTGGATTTCATGCTCTTTATTCAGCTCATAGTAGTGAGGAGGAATGGAAGTTCCCCCACAATATCTGCTTTATATACATTATTTACACAATGGGCTGCACGTGATTGGCTGATTCCAGAATTCTCCTATAGGCCAATCAGGTTGTGGATTCGCTTCCACCTGGAGCTGGATTGGGTGGCTCCTGCGGACCAATCATACTGCTGCATTGTTCTAGGACCAATCAGACTGCTGCATTCTGAATCCTATTGTTCTAGGACCAATCAGACTGCTGCATTTTGGATCCTATTCAACTCAGTACATAACAGTATGAGAGCAGGAGGAAACCTGAGGGTGAGAGCCATGCCTGATTTCTGCTTGAATCCAAGGCTGTGGCTTTGGGAGAAGCAAGACCTTCTGGGATGTTAATGCTGTGAGCCCCTCCATCTTAGGCTCAGGTTGTGATTTGTGTAAATGAACCATACATCATAAAGACATCAGTGTCTCTGCTGTCCCTCTTTCCAAGGAAACTGGATAAGTGCCTGTAACCCCTGGAATCTCTCATTTCTCGGATACTGGGGTGGTGTGCAACAGTATTTTATGATATTGTTTCAAGTTCCCTGTTTTTAACACAGACACACACACCCTTGCCCAAATAAATTCTGTTTTAGGGTGACTCATAAATATAGTTAAGAAACCCCACGGTTCTGGTCAGGACTGATGGTTTTGAACATGTTATGTCTGAGGAGATACGATAGCAAATCTTCAAATATCTAAAGCACCGTCACATGGAGGAGGGAACAAGCTTGTTTTCTCCTGCTCTGGAGGGTGGGACTCGAACCAATGGCTTCAAGTTACAAGAAAGGAGATCCCAACTAAACATCAGGAAGAATTTCCTGACAATAAGAGTTGTTCAGCAGTGGAACAGTCTCCCTCAGAAAGTGGTGGACTGTCTCCTTCGCTGGAGGTTTTTAAGGAGAGGTTGGGTGGTCACCTGCCATGGATGCTTTAGCTGAGATTCCTGCATTGCAGGGGCTTGGACTAGATGACCCTCGGGGTCCCTTCCAACTCTACTAGTCCATGATTCCACGATGTGTTCTGGGTAAAAATGGAGGCAGCTTGCAAATGTTGACACAAGCTCTGCTGCCCCCTCTGGTGACTTTGTCTTCTGCAACAAGAGGGGAAGGGCAGCTCCACTCCCCCTCCAAGGGGTGGCAGAGCTACCGGTATTTAATGTAAAGTAACTGGAACCGAAGAATTGATGATTTTGAATTATGGTGTTGGAGGAGACTCTTGAGAGTCCCATGGACTGCAAGAAGATCAAACCTCTCCATTCTGAAGGAAATCAGCCCTGAGTGCTCACTGGAAGGACAGAACCTGAAGCTGAGGCTCCAAGACTTTGGCCACCTCATGAGAAGAGAAGACTCCCTGGAAAAGTCCCTGATGTTGGGAAAGATGGAGGGCACAAGGAGAAGGGGACGACAGAGGATGAGATGGTTGGATAGTGTTCTCGAAGCTACCAGCATGAGTTTGACCAAACTGCAGGAGGCAGTGGAGGACAAGAGTCCCTGACATGCTCTGGTCCAAGGGAGCAGGAAGAGTCGGACACGACTAAACAACAACAACAACAACAAACAACTGGAACCTCTGCCGCTTCAAAGGAAAGGAGGAATCTGTCAGTTTCAGTATCTCTTGTTTCCCATTTTTGCCATGTTAAGTTGAGTTAACATTAAATAACCATGGAACATGAACCTGTAAAGCAGCTTGGTCAGTATAATGCTGACGGCACAAGTGAAGACCCTCACTTTATATTTTTGGTCAGAGAAGAGCTTTTGGAGGAATTGGCACTCGGTTAATATTCTGTCTGAGCATTGTGAGCTTGACAAATTCACCGCCTGAGCTTGGGCAGCCTCTCCAGGTAGAAGCAAGAGGAGTTCCCCGAGTGCAGTGTGCATATTATTGCTTTGGGTTTCCTGCACAAATTATCCATGTCCCCGAAAGCAGGATAATAATAATAATAGTAGTAGTAGTAATAATAATAATTTATTTATACCCCGCCCATCTGGCTGAGTTTCCCCAGCCACTCTGGGCGGCTCCCAATCAAGTGTTAAAAACAGTACAGCGTTAAATATTAAAAACTTCCCTGAACAGGGCTGCCTTCAGATGTCTTTTAAATATAGGATAGCTGCTTATTTCCTTCACATCTGAAGGGAGGGTGTTCCACAGGGTGGGCGCCACTACTGAGAAGGCCCTCTGTCTGGTTCCCTGTAATCTCACTTCTCGCAATGAGGGAACCGCCAGAAGGCCTTTGGTGCTGGATCTCAGTGTCCAGGCTGAACAATGGGGGTGGAGACGCTCCTTCAGGTATACAGGACCGAGGCCATTTAGGGCTTTAAAGGTCAGCACCAACACTTTGAATTGTGCTCGGAAACGTACTGGGAGAAGTTTCCAGATGGAAGGATGGACTCATTTGCCTAAGAGGGAAATTCAAGAGTGGCCGTGGGATCAGTTAAACAGGGAATGTTCTCCTTTCCCCCCACAACACTGAGGTGTCCCATTGGACCAATACTTTCAGGTTGCTTTGCACTTGATGTGTTCCCAACACACAGAGAGAAAATTATAGTTGTGAAGCATCGCTGTGAAGAACGGCTGCACCATGACTTGGTCTTCACAGGAACATACTGTCAAAGCACAGTGATGGCCACCTTTCAGTCCCTAGGTGCCTCTGGGTCTCTGCCCCTCTGGCTTTGGCTGCCACCCACTTTTTGTGGAGCTGGGTTGTCTCATTCCATTTCCACCTGCAACCTTCTGGAATTCATCGGGATGGACAAATCTGTCAATTTCCTTTTCTTTCAGTTTCTCATTTTCCAAATCTTCAGTTTAGCTAAGCCCATTTCTGCAGTTTTTGTCTTTCCCGTAATATATGCATTTCCCCTCACATCAAGGCTTTTTTAAAAGCTGGCACTCTCCAGAACTCTGGCACCTCTCAGGTGGGCGCCATTGCCATTATAAGAGAACAAGGGAGGCGTTCAGGGTGAGTTCCGGCACTTCTTTTTCTATAAAAATAACACTGCCTTATATCAAGCATTTTCCACATTATTTTCTGTAAATAGGTGTGTGCATGCACACTATTTGGCTGAAGAACTGCACTTCACAATTTATAGAAGGGCGAATTTTGCAGGATAGCTGTGTTTCAGTTTGTATATTGATTTGGGCAGCACAGATGAGTCAGGTTCATGTTAAACTGTGAAGTGTACAATTCTTTTTTTACCCCTGCCCCTGTGGTAACATCATTGCTGCTCTCCAGTACTGTGAAAAAGACATGTTCATCTTCCTCAGCTGTGTTGTGACCAATGAGTTGGCTTTGAAAAGGATGCCATGATGCAGAAGGTTCTGTTTCCTTGCCGCTCAGAAAAGCCCAGCGGAATAGGACCAGGCTGCCTATTGCATACAAACTGCACTGCGATCTCCTGCAACACCTCTGTCCTCCCACCCTTCCTCGCACGGGGAGGACAGATTCTGTTAAGGGAGTCCCCGGGACTAGAGGGCTTTACTGCGTGACTGGCAAGCATCTTCTGATATGCCTAAATGAGGCCAGCCAATCGGAGGAGCCCATTCCGCTGCTCTTGTCATCTGGCTTTGCTTGCAAAATATGCATTTGATTGGCAGGTGCATCAAAGTTCACAGTTTACTGGGTTTTGCAGAAGAGCCGGATCTGCCAATTTAGACAGGGGAGTGACACAAAACTTTCCATCTAAACGGACTAATTTCACCATAGGGAATTTCCCAGCAGAGCGTGCCAAGGCGGGTGCAACCCAGCCTTATTTTTTAACAAGGGGTGAATGACAAATGCAAACGACAGTCTGGGCCTGAGGAACATCAGCATTTGACACTTTACACAGGGAGCATGAAATAAACAATAGGCAGAGAAATTGAATTAGAATCGGCTGAGCATCCGTGGTACGGGTGGGGGTAGGGGGAAGAGAAGGAAGAAATTAAGGGGAGAGCAGGAATGGGGAAAGGTGGGTGAAGCTGCCACCATTTTGATTTGTACTGCTGGGACTTTCTGTGATTCCACCTTGAATTTCCGCTCTAACACAGGTATGGCTGCCCAATAATCCTTTGTTTTATTAACCGAAAAAAGGGGGTGAAGGAAAGAAAGGGTGCTTCTGGCCCTTAAATTATAAGAGTGCTTGAAAAAGGAAGACAATTTGTCCCTTTCCCCTTTGTTTTTCCTGCCGTTACATCTAAATTTGAAAGCACACACCCCGCACTCTGATAGGCCCCCAGGAAGGCTTGTAACACAAGGCTTGTTGTTTAGTCGTTTAGTCGTGTCCGACTCTTCGTGACCCCATGGACCAGAGCACACCAGGCACTTCTGTCTTCCACTGCCTCCCGCAGTTTGGTCAAACTCATGCTGGTAGCTTCGAGAACACTATCCAACCATCTCATCCTCTGTCGTCCCCTTCTCCTTGTGCCCTCCATCTTTCCTAACATCAGGGTCTTTTCCAGGGAGTCTTCTCTTCTCATGAGGTGGCCAAAGTATTGGAGCCTCAGCTTCACAATCTGTCCTTCCAGTGAGCACTCAGGGCTGATTTCCTTAAGGATGGATAGATTTGATCTTCTTGCAGAAATAATACAGACCCTCAAAGTGTCCCTATTTTCCAGGGACAGTCCCAGATTTACAGAAGCCATCCCGGTTTCTGATTTGATAGTGGAATGTCCCGCTTTTCCTTAGGACGTCCCTGTTTCCATCAGGGAAAATGTTGGAGGGTATGCACCCCGCCCCCAGTCAAGGAGATAAGAAACTATACAATCTTTAGAAGACATCTGAAGGCAGCCATGTATAGGGAAGTTTTGTAATGTTTTATTATGTTTTATACGGCCTTGGCCCAGTATACCTGAAGGAGCGTCTCCACCCCATCGTTCAGCCCAGACACTGAAGTCCAGCTCCGAAGGCCTTCTGGCGGTTCCCTCACTGAGAGAAGGGAGGTTACAAGGAACCAGGCAGAGGGCCTTCTTGGTAGTGGCGCCCTCCCTGTGGAACGCCCTCTCATCAGATGTCAAGGAAAATAAACAACTATCTGACCTTTAGAAGACATCCTAAGGCAGCCCTTTTTAGGGAAGTTTTTAATGTTTGAAGTTTTATTCTGTTTTTAGTGTTCTGTTGGGAGCCACCCAGAGTGGCTGGGGAAACCCAGCCAGATGGGTGGGGTATAAATAATAAAATTATTTATTATTATTATTATTTATTAATGATGGAAGTTGCCCAGAGTGGCTGGGGCAGCCCAGTCAGATGGGCAGGGTATATTAATATTAATATTATTAGTAATAATAATTTAATAGGACGTTCCTATTTTCATCAGAGAAATGTTGGACGGTATGAAGTCATAGAACTATGCTCTGTGATCAACTTTTCAGGCAAAAGGTGAATTGGGCCTCCCTGGACAGACTAAGCATAGCGACAGAAAATGTATTCCCTGATGCAAGGATGGGGAACTTGTGGCCTTTCGGACGACGCTGAACTACAACTCCCACCAACCTTAAACATTGCCTGTGCTGGCAGGGGCTGATGGGAGCTGGAGTCGAACAATGTTGGGAATGTCACAGGTTCCCCATCCTTGCATATCGCATCTCTACTACTAGACTAAGAGGTCTAGGTGAGAAATCCACGTGTCTCTCAGGCCAACACTGAAAAGACAAGCAGCAAGTCAGTGGGAAGGATTTTCTGCCTCTGTGCAATAGCAGCATCACTTCTTTGGAGTACTGTGCTAAGGCTGGCCTTTACTTAGCACCCTGAAAACGTTATAATGGCTTAACTACCTGGAGCGAGATGAAAGCCAGCATGGGCTGCCAAGTAAACTGGGTTAAAGTCAACAAACGAAAGCACCCATCAAATCAGCCCAACAAACAGCTGCTCCTCATACTGAGCCATGGCTGAAGCGCTGGAATTTTACGCCTATTAAACTGCTCATACCAAGCAAATTTGGGTTGGCTGAGTACAACCAAAGCCCTGATTAGCCAATCTATTAATTTAGGGGTTAACCGTAGAACAAGCCACCAGCTGCTTTTGCTGTGTTGGTTTTTCATGCACTCCTGAACTTTGATTTCTGATTTGCTGCCACGTTTCCCAGATTCAAACAGCTACCCTTCTTCCTTCCTTCCAGGTGAGGACCCTGGCATTCCTTCCTTTTGCCATGAAACTTCCATGATTGCCTTGGGTCTGTTGGCTTAGCATTCAGTCCTGCCTGGATCCTCAGTGATAGTTCCAAACCCTTCAAGTGTCCCTATTTTCCAGGGACAGTCCTGGATTTACAGAAGCTCTCCCGGTTTCTGATTTGATCCCAGAATGTCCCGCTTTTCCTTAGGACATCCCTAGTTTCATCAGAGAAATATTGGAGGGTGCGGTAGGACACCCCAATTTTTACTGGAGAAATGTTAGAGGGTATGGAGTTATGCAACCTGCAAGCCGAGGAGACCTTTAGAAGACATCTGAAGGCAGCCTTGTATAGGGAAATTTGTTTAATGTTTTGTTATGTATTTATATATGTTGGAAGCTGCCCAGAGTGGCTGGGGCAACCTAGTCAGATGGGCAGGGTATAAATAATAAAATGATGATGATGATTGTTGTTATTGTTGTTGTTGTTATGGAATAGGACATCTCTATTTTCATTGGAGAAATGTTGGAGGGTCTGTAGTTCTGTTTCTGTCCTGATGCCTTACAGACTTGCGATCTTGAGTGATGGGCATTCATCCTCATCCGACATCAATTCAAGGAAGGCCTTAGGATATGCGGCTACTTTTTATTTGCTGTATTTATGTCCTGCCACGTGACACTCAGGAAGCATGCAGTGGATAGCTGTCAAGCGTCCCTTATTTGGCGGGACAGTCCCTTATCCCAGCGCTGTTTCCCGCTGCTGTCCCTTATTGATGATGTCCCTTAAATTTCCCGGGTTTCAAAGGAAGCAGCTCCTCTCCCTCCCTCCCTGCTGGCCAGGGAGGAGGGAGGCTCCAACTGTGTTGCTTGGCTGCGTTGCTCACCCAATAAGGAGTCTAAGAATGACTGGGGGGGTGGAGCTTGCATGCCTTGTGCCGATCAAATCGGCCGCGTTGCCTGGGGACTCGTCTTTGCTCAGCGCTTCCCAGCAGAGAGGTGATGGTGGTTTTCCTAGCTGCATCCCCTTTGCTGGGTTGCTGCGCTATGGGAACCACCACTTGAGGCTTCGTTTGGCTGCTGGTTGACTAAAATCCCTTATTTTGGCTGCTGATCCCTTATTTTCGAGGCTGCTGGTCCCTTATTTTCAAATCTGTAAGTTGACAGCTATGATGCAGTGTGAGGACATGGTCTTTTGTAGCCATGCCTCTGTGTGAGATTTTACTGTTTGGCTGGGGATACACATCCTCTAGACCACTGACAGGTGGCCCTGAAAATGCCCTGTAAGTACACAAGACAACCTAGAGAATTCAGGACTTTCTCCCCAGCTGGTTTGGAACATCAGGCTAACAACTTATGCCAAAAGGTGGCTGATGGAAGCCAATATTTAACAGTGTTGCCACAGTTTTAGTTAATCAGAGAAGGGATGGAAATCCCCATAAAGGAGAATGGAAATTAGAGCTGAATGCTTTAATCAATGCATCCATGTAATTACTGGCAAAATTCATCTGGAACTTATCTTGTGATTCAGCAAATAGGGGTTATGCCAACTTTTGCAAAGTAGATTCCTGGTGTCTTTTCATGCTCAGTGCATTTTAAACCATTTAATTTCCCAAATAAGAAAGGATTTGTTGATAACGTATAGTGAAGCGAAAGCATTGCCTTAACTAAATTGGTTAATAAGGAAGGTTGGACTTCAGTACTTATATATATTTATTTTCCTTGGTTCATGAATTCATTAGTAAGGTAAAGTGAGGTGGTTAATCAACAAAAAACAAAACAAAGTCCTTGACAGCTCTAGTTTCAATATTTACTGCTTGTGTGAACACTTTCCCCCTCTAAGTGTTAAAGGTTAAGATCAGGCTCTCGTCCAGAATGAATTTTAATGAATGCAAAATCTTGTTTCCAATCTACTGTTCAGTGGAACAATTGGATTCTCGACAACTGCAATTCATACTACTTTAAAATAAAGGGTGCAACATCATGCTGTTAGTTTGTGAGGGAAGGAATGCAAAAATTAATTTTATCTGTATCCAGTATTTCACATGGAGAGCTTTCGATGTGGTGGTAACATCTTTGATAGCTATGGTGGAGTGCCATTACCATCTAAATTTCTTAATTACATTTTTGCACCACAGTTTCTGAAATGAATGCAGGGTAGCAGGCTCTCTTGCCTCTGTTTCCTCACTACACTCTAATTGCATTAGACAGTCATTTACCAGGTGAGTTTAATGGCTACCAAGGGATCAGGGCCATAGGTACAGAGGGGCTAGCCAGGTTTTTTTGCCTCCAGAGAGGGGCCACTGAAGCTCCCTGCTTGTGTGTATGCAAATGTGTGTAAGGTGTGTGCATGAAACTGGGTCTTTGACACGGGTGAAATAAAGTCTAGTTTTCTCCCCTGCCAGGGATTTGCATCTGTGTGTCCCTATATCAGACTGGTTCTTTACAAATGTGACCCATTGTAGCTTATAGCCTCCATGGGGGCTGGGAGGCTAATGTGGTCATGAAGAATCCTAGACGATGTGGGTTAAACCACAGAGCCTAGGACTTGCCGATCAGAAGGTCGGCGGTTCTAATCCCTGCAACGGGGTGAGCTCCCGTTGCTCGGTCCCTGCTCCTGCCAACCTAGCAGTTCGAAAGCACATAAAAGTGCATGTAGATAAATAGGTACCGCTCCAGTGGGAAGGTAAACGGCGTTTCCGTGCGCTGCTCTGGTTTGCCAGAAGCGGCTTTGTCATGCTGGCCACATGACCCGGAAGCTGTACGCCGGCTCCCTCGGCCAATAAAGCAAGATGAGCGCCGCAACCCCAGAGTCGGCCACGACTGGACCTAATGGTCAGGGGTCCCTTTACCTTTATCCTTTGCTTTGCTGGTGGCTTTGGAGAGGGGAAGTCATTGTGGACCCTCTAGATCAGCCCTTCTCAACCTTGGGTCCCCAGATGTTTTTGGCCTACAACTCCCATCATCCCTAGCTAGCAAGGCCAGAGCTCAGGGATGATGGGAGTTGTAGTCCCAAAACATCTGGGGACCCAAGGTTGAGAAACACAGCTCTAGTTGTTGTTGGGCTACAATGCCCATCCCTTGCCCCCTGGCCATGGTGGCAGAGGCTGTTGGCAATGGCAACATTTGCAGAGCACCACATTGTTGCCTCCCCAGCCTAGGTGATCTCTTGAATGAGTTACTGATTAGCAAGGTTGCCTCTGTATACAAACTTTCCAACTACCTTTCAGAGGCTTGCTTCCTGGTTAATGATGGCTAGGGTGTTGAGTGCAAAACAAGGGGCAGAAACTCTGGGCTTAATTTTCCTAAACGCAGCATGGAGCTCATTTCCAGGTCTGTACTGTGGCAGGAATAGTGGCAACAAAGGCCTTTTTGTTGCATTTGCACGACAGAGCTGCGGACGCTCCAAGTCTCCCTATTTTCCAGGGATAGCCCCGGATTTACAGAAGCCATCCCGGTTTCTGATTTGATCCTGGAATGTCCCGCTTTTTTTTTAGCATGTCCCTATTTTCACCAGATAACTGTTGGAGGGTGTGGAGTTGTGTGACCCCCGAGCCAAGGAGTTAAGTAACTATACAAAGTTTAGACTCCCTCCTTTCCTTCCCAGCCCTACCTTTGGTCCACCAATATTCCAGTCCTCTTGCCTGTGAAACTTTCATGAAGCATCTAAAATAGCACAAATAGCACTGCCTTAAATATATATATATTACTGCTTAGACCTTCTAGAGTTGGGCTGCCCACCCACTTAAATTTGTGGTTAAAACTATGGTTTGTTTTCAACTCAGGAATTAATGAACCCAAGCTAGTCATGTCCATTAACTTCAGTGGGTCTGCTCAGAGTAAGGGCTTTCCCCCCACAGCTGGAACTCAGTTCCGGCACCTCTCAGGTAGGCACCATTGCCATTATAAGAGAGGCATTCATGGTGAGCTCCAGAGCATCTTTTTCTGCAAAAATAGCACTGCTCAGAAAAGACTAGCGTTGACTATCACACTTGTATTCTCTTGTGCCAATTTACAGTTCAGGTAGGGATCAAGTCAGCCTACCTTAACCAAGTGGTGGCTGGTCCTTGTGGTTACTGTAGGGGATATCCCTTAACTTGGAGATCTCAGAGGTGACTCAATTTAAAAATAAAAGGCTGGGTTGGGAGGAAGTGAGCAAACAGAGATAAGCAAGCTATGGGTCTCTATGTCACAGGCTGACACAAAAAGAAATTGGTTGGTTTTGGGTAGATAAGAAATAAAAACAAAGAAATGAAGAATGGCCAGGTGGAGATGCAAAAGCTTGGAGGGTGACATGGACAGAAGGTCCTAGCAGTCGTGGTTCTTCCTTTCTTAGTTTCATCACTCTGCGCCCTAAAATGTGTGGAAACAAAATGGGCAGAAACATGTGTGAGTAGGATCCAAATTAGTTTAGTTCCAAGCAGGCCTTTTTCCCCAGCAGGAGCTCACTGGAGCTCTGGCACCTTTCAGGTGGGCACCATTGCCATTCTGAGATAACAACGGAGGGTCCATGGCACCTCTTTTTCTAGAAATATAGTACTGGTTCCAAGTTGCTATGTAACTCACATTTGTCTTTCCGGCACTGTGGTCTAAACCACAGAGCCTAGGGCTTGCCGATCAGAAGGTTGGCGGTTCGAACCCCCGCGATGGGGTGAGCTCCTGTTGCTTGGTCCCTGCTCCTGCCAACCTAGCAGTTTGTAAGCATGTCAAGTGCAAGTAGATAAACAGGTACCACTCCGACAGGAAGGTAAACGGTGTTTCCATGCGCTGTTCTGGTCTGCCAGAAGCAGCTTAGTCATGCTGGCCACGTGACCCGGAAGCTGTACGCCGGCTCCCTTGGCCAATAAAGTGAGATAAGCGCCACAACCCCAGAGTCGTCCGCGACTGGACCTAATGGTCAGGGGTCCCTTTACCTTATCCCCAAAATAAACCAAGCCACCACGTGTAAGTGCTCTTACCACAAAGGTTATGAATGATTTTAGACAGTTCAGTGCGAGAAAATACTTCAGATTTTCTTTAAAGGAAGACTCAAGAGGAGATAAGAGTGTCATTTGTTTTGTTTTTTTGTTTTTTGACAGTTTAATAGCTTCACATTGGTCTGTGATTAGTTCAGAATCTTTTCCTCTGTATTTTAATTGTCACTATCCATGGGCGAGAAAACATGCAACAGCCCTGTCTCTCCATGAGGGCTCATCACCACTAAAGACACTATCCTTTTAAAGAACACTTACAGATCACCCAAGATGTCTGTTGCAACAGAAATTGTCTTGCTCCTCCCATCCCTACCATTCTATAAACTCCCCCCACCCTCCCGCTCCCCCCTTTCTGCAGCGGAGCCATTCCTGGTTGTCGTAAAGAAGGCTGTGGTTCATATTCCCTGTGGACTATGTCAGTGGCAAGAGCTTCTGGGATCCTGTCCCCCAACACAGAAAAGTAGATGCGGTCAAGGTTGTTCCTTTTTCTACCTGGGATGAATTTAGGGAGGAGATGCAGCTGAAGAGGCCAGTTAAATGAAAGAACAACATGACAAGACGGACGAGAGGGAGATAACAGAGGGTAATATTGGTTGCCAACCCGAAACATCCCCCGAGATTTCTCTCCAAAGGTCTCCAAATACTCAGGCGATACTAGCAAGCAAAGAATCACAACACCCCACCAGGTTAGGGTGTTTTCTTTTTATTCCTATTGTACAGCTGGGGAAACAGAAAGCACAAGGTGGCACAGCATGCCCAAATAAGGTCCCAAGGGGGAAAAAACCCCTCCAAAGTCTTCAGTTCACCTATTTGCGTTGGCCATCAGACAGCCCTCTGTGGAAGGGGAGCAAAACCATAGGGAGAGCAATGGAGAAATATACCATGGCAGCAAAAGTAGAGGAATCAGGACACATGGGCAGAAATGCAAAAGATGCTAACATTTTTTTATATTTTTTTCTTTTGCATAGAGAATATTTTCCCCCATTCAATTTTTTTTGTGTGTTTTTCTTTCCCTGCCTTTTCAATTTTTTTGTTTAGGTTTTTTTATTTTATTAAAAAAAGAGAGTAGTGGTAAAGTCAACCACTTTTTTGGGGGGGGGGCTGCTGGAGGTTGCCAGGGAAAAGGCCTTGTCAGGCTTGTTTGTTCCCACAGAGTCCGAGTTTGTGCTGTGCTTTATTGAACACAGAGCTTTGTTTTCAGTGAGCACAATGCGATTCGAACAGTACAGACGGTGCGTTCTTTTATCTACACGATGAGGTGAGCCTGTTTCAATCACTAGCATGATGAAGATGGAGAATGGGCTTATATACAAGAGGAATTGCCTTCACATTACAAACATCATCTTCCTACAAAGCAGCAAATTTCCCCCCGCAAATAACAAAATATTAAATAATTTTTGCATTTCCCGCATTGTCCAGTCCAGTTGAATCTATATGAATATTGATGGTTGTCTTCCGTAGAATATCATCACGTAAATCCCCCTTGTCAGTTACTAAACTTAACTATAATACTGCTTTACAATGCAGCCCACCAACTGTAACTCAAAACAGCAGGGGCCAACACAAGAAATTCTTTGGCAAATGTAATACACATTTGCAGGTGGCTCTTCAGAAGACAAGGTGGAAAGACTAAGACTCAGCCTAGTAGTCCTTTGCATAGGATGTTCCAAATAGAATTGCTTACTCTCTTTATGATCATGCCAGGCCAAATCAAAATCAAGGTAACATTATCTATGTCAGCGGGCCCCAAATCAAGCCAGTGGCTATGGACAGACACATATTCCCCTTCTTTTCTACCAGTGTAAGTAAAAGACCATGACTAATCTCAGTTGCATCTTCCTTTATTTGTGTTTTCCTGTTCTTATACTCTTGCTTTTCTGGGCTAGCCAAAGTTGGGGCTTCAAGGACCTAACAAGTTTTCAGTTGACCCAGTTAGCTATTTTCCTTCCCGGACATTCTGGGGTACATTTAACACTAGTCAAATGGGCAATAGTACATGTGCCGTTCCCCAAACAGAGTCATAAATACAGGCATGAGCAACTGGTGTGTATGTGTGTGTTTAAATTGTTGAGCGATGTAGGGACCCTAGCTGGATAAAGCTGAATTTGGGATGAGGTTTGAGGAAGCACTGAAAGTTTCTATTTGCCCAATATTTCTTTGTGTGCACTGGATGAGATAAAAAAGCAGGTATATTTACAGAATGATTTCCTGCTACAACCTTATAATTTGGGGGTGTTAATGGCATACAGTATATAGCACAGATGTGGATATAGGTAACTTCCGTAGGCCTGGAACATAAAAGCTTGTTCTTGTGAGTGTCTGTGACAAGCAAACAATTGTTTGAATCATCTCAGACAAATATAGGTGAATTAAAAGAGAGTTGGTCAATTCACCTGGGGCAAGCAGGTTACAGAGAAAAATGGAAAGGCGCCATTGGAATTCCTGGCGATCAACATGCTTTGTTGATCCCTATAAAAGGGGTTTATAAAGCAAAAGTATTGCCCCAAATACAGAGATCTCTTATTTCCCCTCGGATATGGCAATTTAGAAAAAGAAAACAGGGCTAAAAACCTTCTGCTTTACACTAGTTTGAAATTTGGTCCGCACTCTGCCATCTGGAGATGTAAACTGGAGGAGGATGTTGTGTTCGCCCCATGAATGCTTTCCCTTTCCCCTGTTGATAACTGCTCACCACATACCAGATTTATGAAATATAAAATGTGAGCAAATTTTGTTCTGCCATCTTCTGCTTAAATGTCACCCTTCACAGCCAACCCTGCTGCAAATTCCACATGCAAAAACAATGTCTGTAAACCATCAGTTAATGCAGATGTGCCTTTCTGCATGAAATGGCTCCAATCTGCATGTTTATTTTTGATCCTGGCATTTTGAGAGTTTGCATAATTTGGGATTTTTTAACCATAGGATATTTCATGGTGTGGTCGCAAGAGGAGACGAGCGCTGCTTACGGAACTTAAAGCGGATGCCAAGATAAGAGGATGGAGAGTGATGCAGGATCCCACCTCTCTGCTGCAGCAACCTTTTATAAGAACGGTAACTGCGTGTTTTCATCTATGGGTCCACAAAGACAGGAAATTAGCCTTAAAATTAAAAAAGAGTGAACTTCTTAGAAATCCAAATTCTGCTCAGTTTTTAGGCATGCAGAAACAAGGAAATGAACAGCCCCCAGGAATAGGGAAGCTGCTGCGCTGACTGATGTAAGACTCAGTTAAAACAAGCTTGAGGTTCAAGGATAAAACACCTGCTTTTTGCTGTATGCCACTATTTCAGAGTACTACAGCTACATGGAGAGTAGAAACACCCCCCCCTTACCCCAGACCTCTGGTCCATATTGGTATAGCAGAAATGGAAGGACAGAGAACCAGAAAACATTCCCAGTTAGTCTGGAATTGTTTTTGTCCAGTGTCACATGCCCGAAATGTTTCTACCCCTTCAGCAGTGATTAATGAAATGTGGCACACCAGTCGCTGGGGGATTTAAGCTTTTTCCTTCATAAATCTTGCTGGAGTTGTGTATTAGGTGAACAAGTTCCCCCACAGAATACACTTGCACTCCTCGCCGCCGTGCATGTAACAACTCTGGCACGTAACAGAAAAAGAATGAAACCTAGGAATGAAAAGGGAGAATTATTCTTCATGTCTGCCATTCAGGCTGGGGAGCTATTTCAGCTTGTTTTTGCCAGGACTTTTTGATTTTTAGAAAACGGGGGGGATTTGTTCATTTCCCTCCCCTTCTTTTTTGTGTTTTTTTTTACAGACCTTCAGGACAAAGCATTAAAAACAGTTATATTTATATATCTATTTATATAGTTCTTGATTTTGCCAGCGGGTTGACATCGCTCCATCCTCCTGTCTGACTTGACTGTAGGTGTGTGTGTGCATGTGTGTGAGAGACTTGCCATCCCAACTCCAGCCTGTAAGGTTATGACATCGGACGCAGTCGTTCTTCGGATGGAACGGTAAGGAAACCAAGGCCTTATTCAACCAACCTATGGAGGAAATGGGAGGGAAACGGGTCACACAAAACAACCCTTGTCGGACACACAGAGAGGATGACACAGGTCTTTTCCCCCTTTGCTAGACCGAGCCAGAGTTGGTACCCTCTGGCTTCTGGGAACCGTCGCTTATCATGCGGAGATGTTTTTCACAGACGATCTCTTGGGGGAGAACAATGAGTTTGTACGCAGTATTCTCTCCTTCGTTACCTTCTGTCCAGACCACTCCCAAAAGACGACAGTGCAGGCTATATATTGCTCAGATTCCCCTCAGGCTTAAGAGGTTTGGGAAACCTCGCATGGAAGGCTAGAGAGCCGAGGAACAATTTGTGTGGGGTGGTCTGAAGTACTGCAGTGGCAATAGCGACAGGAGCAGGAGCACTGGCCGCAGGCCTGCTTTTGCCATCAATCCAGTGAAGTAGCTTGGTTGGGTTACAAAGGGGCATGAAGTTCTCAAATGTGCGGTATTCCAGTACGTTTCTGCAGTCTGAAAGAGGGCGGAGGGGGCAGAAGGGGCAGGCGAGGGACACGGAGAAAGTTTTCTTCATCCTTCCGAGTGGCGCAGAATGTTCATCAGACAGGTACAATATGGAGGCCTAGGCTGTCACCCTGCAGTTTCATGTGGTTTCCATGGTAACTAGTGGCGGTCATAGGCAGCGGCAGCAGTGGGAGGTGCGGAGCCCCGGGATGTGGCACTATAATAATAAGGGGAACCTGAAAGTTAACACAGGAGAAGAATGGACTGATTGAAAGGACATACAGTAAAATAAAATAAGAAAAGAAAGGAAGAGAAAGAGAGAGAGAGCGCGAAAGAGAGAGGCATATTAAAAGGAATTAGAGACAGAAACCCAAGGATGGGGACTCATTAGTGGCCAATATAAAGAACGGAGAACCTGCATTTGCTAAATTACCGTATTTTTCGCTCTATAAGACGCACCAGACCACAAGACGCACCTAGTTTTTGGAGGAGGAAAACAAGAAAAAAAATATTCTGAATCTCAGAAGCCAGAACAGCAAGAGGGATCGCTGCGCAGTGAAAGCAGCAATCCCTCTTGCTGTTCTGGCTTCTGGGATAGCTGTGCAGCCTGCATTCGCTCCATAAGACGCACACACATTTCCCCTTACTTTTTAGGAGGGAAAAAGTGAGTCTTATAGAGCAAAAAATACAGTACATAGTGCTAGCCACACAGAAAGAGTTCTGATGCAGCAGCTGTGTTCTGGATTCCAGTTAGATGCTCTTCAGGAGGATAACCTAGATTCATAGGCGCCAACTCCTAGAGGCCGAGGTCCCTTTGGCCTCCCAGTAAAATATTTGAGGGGGTCGGTCCAAGTTGATGGACATTGCCATTCAAATGGTATGCGTCTTGTGATTGATTAGGTGGGGCAAAATATTGGGCCCCACAATATTTATTCAAGTTGGTACCCCTGCCTAGATTCCTCGTGTAGCAATTGTCATTTGCCTGCATTCATAGGAATATTTCCCAAAAAGCACCTCACAGATGCTAAATGTCAGATTTGGAACCCTCTCTGCTGATCCACCGCAATTACAATTCAGAATGTTTTGTAAGGAATGTTAGGGTGCTGAAAACTTTACTCGCTTTGTGAGCTTATACCTGGGCTGCCTGGTCCACTCCAGGGAGGAGAAATACTGATCTGGTTTTTTAAATTAAAGAAATGGTACATAGCCTTCTTTATATCGTGTTAAATATTCAGCCCTGCTAAATATTCAGGGGTGTTGAAAATCAGGGGAAGAAAGGGGGTAGGCCTTTAAAACAAAGCTGCAAAGCAGACAGCGATTAAACTGATGGGAAAGGGGGAGTTTGTAAAAAAGTGTGGCATATTTTACAAAAGGGCTGTTGGCGGCTGCTAAGGGCAAGGGCGATTTTTGCAACAACAGAAGAGCACAAACCTGAAGCACGTGGTGCAATGGATCAGTGTGTCTGGCTGTTAGCCAGGCTGGTAGTTCAAGCCCACCCAGGGATGGCTGTGGGCAGAAGGCCTGCATTGCAGGGGGTTGGACTAGATGACCCCTGGGGTCCCACCCAACTCTAGAATTCTATGCTTCTATGTATAGGACATGTCTGCACCTGCCAGTTTTGTATTACAAGTACTGAGAAGTGGAGCGCAGCGTCTTGCTTAAGCAGTCAATTTTAGGGGACTTGAAGGGAAGGTGTAAAGGTAAAGGGGACCCCTGACCATTAGGTCCAGTCGTGACCGACTCTGGGGTTGCGCGCTCATCTCGCTCTATAGGCCAAGGGAGCCGGCGTTTGTCCGCAGACAGCTTTCCGGGTCATGTGGCCAGCATGACTAAGCCGCTTCTGGTGAACCAGAGCAGCACACGGAAACGCCATTTACCTTCCCGCCGGAGCGGTACCTATTTATCTACTTGCACTTTGACGTGCTTTCGAACTGCTGGGTTGGCAGGAGCAGGGACCGAACAACGGGAGCTCACCCCATTGCGGGGATTCGAACCGCCGACCTTCTGATTGGCAAGTCCTAGGCTCTGTGGTTTAACTCACAGCGCCACCCGTGTCCCAAAGGGGAAGGTGTATGAAGGGCCTGAACCAGCAAAAGTATGGAATTGCTTCTAGTCCCTCTGCCTTAAGTTGCCCATTAGGAAGCTGGACTAGATATGCCTTTGCTCTGATGCAGCGGGACTGTTCTTCTGTTCTTGCGATGTGTGCAGAGGAACTGGTCAGATTCTTATGGTGGTGCGTGTAGGACCAGAGAAAGGAAATGGTGCTCAGTAACAGCCAAATCAACTAGGTAAGACACCCGTGGCTTTTTGGAGAAATACCCTCGCAGGTGGAAGATATCCTTCTCTTTGAGTTTCTTTACACAGTCAGTAAACAACTGCTTTTAACGCACTTCAATTTCTGATGCGTTTACATGATCAAGGGGCTAATCAGATGCAGGAAAGAGATGGAAGCTAATGAAAAGAGCCCCGTGAGAATTAAAGACTCTTGTCTCAAATCTGTTTCATATTAGGATAAATGGCTCTGTAAATAGCTGTGAGGCCTTCATCTCAGGCATGCAGAGATGGGGATACTTTGGAATTCGCTGCGAGTACACAGGGGAGCTCACGTGGGAAAGTGGGTGGGATAAAACCCTCTGGGGTTCTGTGCTTACACAGGAGGGACTCAATAATATTTATTTGGCCCGTGCATGAATGCTTCTCTAAAATGCCCAGAGAGCATGATGTACTGAGAGGGAATGTTGCAGGTCATCTTGAGTCTAGGGCTAACTAATCCTCATCTGGTCTGACTCCTGAGTCTTCCTGTAGCAGTCTGTAGGAGGGCTAGACTTGCCCTGCCTAAGTAAATTGCAGCGATGCTGGAGTCTGGAGCTACTCATCTTATCTTCTATTATAACAGACCCTCAAAGTGTTCCTAATTTCCAGGGACAGTCCCGGATTTACAGAAGTTGTCCCACTTTCTGATTTGATTTCAGAATGTCCCATTTTTCCTTATAATGCCCCTATTTTCATCGGAGACATGTTGGAGGGTATGGAGTTATGCAACCCCCCGAGCCAAGGAAATAAGTAAGTGTACAACCTTGGACAAATGAAGGCAGCCCCTATATAGGGAAGTTTTTAAATGTTTAATGTTTTATTATGTTTTTATAGATGTTTGAAGCCACCCAGTGTGGCTGGGGAAACCCAATCAGATGGGTCATGTACTACTACGACTATTATTATTTGAATAGGACGTCCCTATTTTCATTGGAGAAATGTTGGAGGATATGTTATCATGGTGGTCCAGAAGGCCACACCCTGTCCCGTCAAATTGGCCAACTTTTGCAACAGGAATTTCCATAGCCTCTTTTTTCACATGCCTTTCATAAAATGGGGGGGGGGGGGCAGCTGGAGACATAGCTGTTAGGAAAACTGAAAGTTGCATGAGTTCTGCACACATTCTTTTCTGTTGTTATCTCTGTTGTTTTCTGGTCAGTTAGGTTTTGCAGGTTTCTGAAATGCTACAAAACCCTCCAGAACCAGTTTACCAGAAACAGTTTCAGAATTAGTACACTCTACGGGACTACGTTTCCGTGTGTTGCTCTGGTTTGCCAGAAGTGGCTTAGTCATGCTGGCCACATGACCCAGAAGCTGTCTGCGGACAAACGCCGGCTCCCTCGGCCTATAGAGCGAGATGAGCGCGCAACCCCAGAGTCGGTCACCACTGGACCTAATGGTCAGGGT